TTCTGTTTTTCTGACATGTACAGATAGTTCATGTGGATATTTGTGCAAAATTTCAGCATTGTAGCTTTGTAAGTTTTGACGCAAAAAATTTATTTGTCTCTGAGCACTTCTTGTGCACCAATATGCAGACTGCATATAGCTAGTTTGAAAACTTACAGATTTGGATTTGATTTTTTGTGTTTTTTGAAGTCCTTGGGGTCTAAATAGTAGGAAAAGATCAAAACTTGAGCCAAAAGTTTGTATTTGAAAAAGTTGTCTATAGGCCATATTTGCCTCTATGGCTAATATGCATTAAAAATGTAAAAAATTATTTTCTGTTCTATGGCAGATATTTGAGTTCTGTTTTTTCTGACATGTGCAGATAGTCCATGTGGATATTGGTGCAAAATTTCAGCATTGTAGCTTTGTAAGTTTTGACGCAAAAAATTTATTTGTCTCTGAGCACTTCTTGTGCACCAATATGCAGACTGCATATAGCTAGTTTGAAAACTTACAGATTTGGATTTGATTTCTTGTGTTTTTTGAAGTCCTTGAGGTCTAATTAGTAGGAAAAGATCAAAACTGGAGCCAAAAGTTTGTATTTGAAAAAGTTGTCTATAGGCCATGACTAATATGCGTTAAAAATGTAAAAAAATTATTTTCTGTTCTATGGCAGATATTTGAGTTCTGTTTTTTCTGACATGTGCAGATAGTCCATGTGAATATTGGTGCAAAATTTCAGCATTGTAGCTTTGTAAGTTTTGACGCAAAAAAATTTATTTGAATTTGAGCACTTTTTGACTACCATTGTGCAGACTAGAAATAGCTAGTTTGAAATGTTACTGATTTTCATTTGTTCTGTTTAGTTTTTTTTAAGTCCTTGGTGTCTGATTAGTAGGAAAAGATCAAAACATGAGCCAAATTGGTGTATTTGGAAGAGTTGGGTATTGGCCATATTTGGCTCTTATGGCCAATATGCATGAAAAATGTCAAAAATTATGTTCTCTTCCATGGCAGATATTTGAATTCTGTTTTTTTTCTGACATGTCCAGATAGTCCATGTGAATATTGCGTGCAAATTTCAGCTCTATAGCTTTGTTACTTTTGACGCAAAAAAGATTATTTGGATTTGAGCACTTTTTGACTACTATTGTGCAGACCAGCAATAGCTAGTTTGATAAGTTACAGATTTTAATTTGTTCTGTTGGAAAAGATCAAAACATGGGCCAATTGGTGTATTTGGAAAAGTTGGGGTCTAATTAGTAGGAAAACTGTCAAAAAAAAATTATTTTATGTTGTATGGCAGATATTTGAGTTGTTTCAGCCTTGTAGCTTTGTAACTTTTCAAGGAAAAAATTTATATTAGTTATGTTTGTTCCACACATCATGGTGCTGCCCGTCTCTATTAGCAGTGGGATCACAACAATTAAATTTCATTTCCACATAGTTATATTAGACTGCTGTTTTGTATGAAGAATATTATTACCTTCTAGCCCACATTATTAACTATCATTTTTGTAGCATAATAATAAATGGAGAAAGTGTTAACAACAAATTGAGCTGAAATGTCCAGGTAGGCTGCTACCGATTGATTTCGGAAGACGAGCGCATTTTGTTTCGCAGCGAATTTTAAAATCGCTTGAAAAATTCGCTTGTGTGCCCGCTAATGTCGACGGCGAATTTTACGCCTGTACGAATTGTTGTCATCAAAAGTGTTAGATATTTCCGTCGATTATTTACGCCAGCGATTTAATTTGCACGTTTGTCCATGTCCAGCGTAATTTTTATCGGCCGATCGAAATTTCTTGAGAATACTTTGATTTTGATCACGTGACGTTCAGAATGATTGCCTCTGCCATTACATACGTGATCGACGCCAAAATTCTACCAAGTGATATTATGCGCGTTAAAGTATTCGCAACGTGTGCCCATATAACATTACTGTATAGCCTAGTGACAGTTTACAGTTCTCCGGTGCGCCCCTTGATCGTGACTGCATGGGCACTTGTTACGGCCAAAAAGTGCGCTCGTCTGCCCCTAGCGTACAAGATTTTTTTTTCATGTGCTGAATGATAGATAGGACCATGTACTTGTGTATTGGTCCTATTTCTGAATATGTAAAATACGAGTTTATCAATTACAGTCAAGTAACCTAATTTCGTGGAAACCTATTATTCGTGGATTTCCGGAAAGGATTAATAATTTAAATGAGCAACCTTGCGCGACCTCCACGTTAGTTTGTTTTGATAAACATGGGTTTTCTCTACAATATCAACTAGTATAATGAATCCAGTAGTTTCAAGCAAGGTAAAATGTATTAATGTATACTTTGACAAATACAAAATGGCGGATTTCACTTATTACCAAACGTCACCATTTTTCATCGGCCGAATTTCCTTATAATCCCAAGCGGTAATCGGAATTCCAAGTGTCGTCTGCTAGAATATATTCCAACGAATGAAGTCACGTGATCAACTCAGCAGAAAATTTCTATGGAACACAAAGTCGACCATATTCTTATATTGTTTCAGTGACTTTTAGCAATAAATCACGCTACGTATCATATTTTGTCAGTCACTATTTTTTTTTTTTAAATCGTGGTTCTTTGAAGGAATTGTCACTAGTTATAATAAATTGATATTAAAGATAAATACTAAGAGAAGTTAATTATACCACCCGGTATCCATACAACGTGTTTTTCTAGATTTATTTATAGATCAAACATTGTACACGAAAATAGGTGACGCATTCTGCCACCGTTGCCGAGTTGGTTGCTCATGATCTGCATAAATATAATATATGATCTGTCGACGAGTCGTCTCGTAATTTGTCGACGACTTGGTCAAATCTGTCGACGACTTGGTCAAATCTGTCGACGACTTGGTCATGTTTGTCGACGAGTTGACTGTCGACGAGTTAGCGTGTCGACGACTTGACCGGACAGCCATGAAATATGGGTCAAAGTGAAGGATTCATAAAGAAAATCGAAATAAACCAATTTTAATTATTTTGTAGAATATCTGAGGAAACATCTAAGACATAAATTTTTTTTTCGCTTTTATAACTTTGACGAAATTCGGTGTTGAATCCTTATATCCACGAAAATAGGTTATACCACAGTAATTACTGTTATTATTTATAAGCCCCGCCCACGTCGATCACGTGTTCTGTATATGACCGGAAGTAAACAAACATGTGTATTATGTCCTCGAACTTAAAGGAGATTAAACGATCGTTCTTTCATTTTCTGTGTTAATTTTATGAGATAAAATGTCGGAGACGGAATTGAGAGTTTTGTCAATTCAAAGTTCTGTTGTATATGGCTATGTTGGAAATAAGTGTGCGACATTTCCTCTGCAGGTAAATAATAGTTATAACTATGACCCAAATAATAATGATACCGGCGACTGTAAATGTTGTCATTGCTCAAGAATATTAGAATTTTGCATAATAATTAAAGATGCTTCAAAACTTTGGCCAGTTTGTAGTAGAAGTTGAAGTTACAACAGGAGCAGATGCCAATTAATTATGCTTCTCTGGTGTTACTCAATAGAATTGAGATAGATTGGATATGATTTGCCCACTGGCCTATAATTGAATATGATGATGTGACATAATAAAAAAAATTGTTCATATGGAAGCTATCTGTGACAGTTACACTAAAGTCAAGAACAACTGTGCTTAACATAAACCATTTGTATTTTCCCAAATCAGTCTACAGCTTTTGATCAGAATTTAATCTATGATTCAAGTAAATTGGATTCTGATTTCAGGTACTTGGATTTGATGTTTCTACCATAAACTCAGTCCAGTTCTCAAATCACAAAGGTATTACGGTTGTAAAACTTTCGTATGCTGCTATACTTTCAATCCAAAAGTTCTATTGATATATGAGCAAATGAAATATTCAGGCAAAAAAATCTTTGGAAGTTATTATTATTTTAGCAGTCGTGCACTTTGGTCTCCACACTGAAGCAGCTGCAGGACTTTTGAGCATTTACAGAAAACGCTTTCTCCCATAGCATGAAGCACATCACTCACCACATCTCCAATAGGTTGAAGAAAGAATGATCTTTGGTACAGATTATTAGAGAAAGTCTTAACATTTTTTTTAAGGATATGGTTATTGTAAAGGACAAGTATTGAATCATAGTGAAGTTAGTGAACTATATGATGGTTTAAAACATAATAATCTGATTAACTTTTCACATGTTTTAACAGGTACGTAATACAGGAACAATCCTGATTTTTGTTTTAAATAGTTCTTAATCATAATCATATGGGAAAATAGTCTTAGATAGAGTCTTTGACTAACTTATTTTCAATTATTATTACACGAGCATAAAGAGGAAATGAGAAAACTTTGCTATTTTGATGATTAGCCTTATAGTTTTTTAAGATTTGTAGTTTCATTAAACTTTTCATATGTGCAGTTTTATTACTCTGTGATTCTGATTTCATTGTCGAATTGAACCAACGGCATACTTAAATGGGCATGTATGACTCCAGAAGAGACAAAGAAAATTGCTCTAAATGTGGACTGAATAGTCTTATCTGAAAAATTACGTTTCATTTAAAACAGGTCGTTATCGTTTCAAGGTGAAATGATAATATTCTTGTTATAATTTGTCATTCGACTTATGACTATGAATATTTATGATAATTACTTTTATAACTTACTGACCTGCTGTATTAGTGATAGCCCTGGCCTGGCCCCTTTTACCGGAATGTATCCATACAAATGATCTCAAAGTTGACGGTTTTGATTGATGTATATCTTTAAAGGGACAGGTAGGCTATTTTTTTTGACCAATCATGCTTTAGTCTTAGAAACTGGAATTTTTTAGCTGGGCTAATCAGTAATAATGTTCACAACTCACTGTCAAAATTTAAGCCTTCAAATCCATGTGTGTCCAGAATTCTCTATGTTTGAATGTTAAAATGACGACTTGACATTTTAAAATACTCTGTGATATATAGAAAAGATATATAGAAATAGTGAGTAGAATTCCTAGTTGGAAGTATTTTCAATGGAATTATGTGATTTTCGTACATTCTGAAGACTATTTACATATTCAAGACTTAAATCAACCCCCAAAAATGGCACACCTATCCCTTTATTTACTAAAAAAAAATTAATCTATTTCTAGCTGCACAAACCCATATAATGATGTCTAAAGTTTTTTCAATTGTGATTTTAATGTCCAGGAAGCTTGGCATTTCCTCATCTCTAAATTCTATTTCAGGATATATTGGTTCGAAATGTTTTTTAGAAAAAGTGAGTGAAATGATAAAAGAAATCAAAGAAAACAATCCAAAACTTATATATGGTATGTTTTTAATCACCCATTACTTTTGAATGGATTTTTGTATATTCTGTAGCTTGTATGTGTGCAATGCCATAACTACATACAGGCAAATGAGGCATTAGTTTAAAAAATCAAGAATATAAATGTGATATCTGCTAAAAAATATCGCTTATTTGATGACTAGAGAAACATACTGTTTGAAGTCTACTTGCCCCAAGATCCTTTTGGGGCTTGTCTCATAGAAAAAATAATGACCCTAGGTTATAGCCAGACCTATAGCTTCTATTAGAATTAATATGATATCCATCTTTATATATAACCATTGCATTTGTTGATATTGTATTTTTTTTTTTGTAGTTTGTGACCCTGTGATGGGTGATAATGGAAAAATGGTAGGTGATAATGATGAAATAATTCATACTCATAATTGGGTGGGTCTGTATAAGTAGGCATAGTGGTATGCCCTTTCATATAATATCCACCATCCTAATTCATTCCTTAATGATACACCAAAATTATTTGACTTCAAACCTTTAAAGGGGCAGGCTCTCCATTTTAGGAGTTTGATTTGAGTCTTGAACATATGTAAATAGTCTTCAGAAGTGCTAGAAATGTATGAAATCGCAAAATTCCTTTAAAAATACTTTCTATATATTGATGTCTTTTCTGTATATCACAGAGTATCTTAAAATGACGAGTCATAATATAAACATTCAAATGCAGATAAATCTGGACACACATGGATTTAAAGGCTGAAATTTCTACGGTGAAACTAAACAATCCCCATTTCTGCGACTAAGGTACAATTGTTAAAAAAAATGGCATCTGCTTCTTTAAGTTATTTAAAGCCATTCAATCACTGATGTTTGACATCTGTGGTTTGGAACTATTTTTCAAAATCCAGACCAGATTATTTCACAAAGACATTAACGTCAGGACATGTTTTCAGAAAAAACTTTTAAGCCTGTTAATTAAAGGTTATACATATATTGTGAAAATTTCAATTGTAGAATTTACACATAAGTTAGATGCTTCTTCTATATTTTCCTTCCCATAATATCCTTACCCATTAATTTTTTCCAACTATTAAATCATTTTCATACAAAGTGAGTTTGTAAATGTTGTAAAGTTTAGGTTATACTGTGATATTAATATATAAATATTATTATAAACACCTCAGCATTATTAACCTATTAACCTAGTAAATAACTGTTTCTTGAATAAAATGAAACCATCTATTAGAATCATCCTTTAGAATCAAAAGACAACTGAACTGATCAATCTGATAAATATGCAAATTTAAATGTTTTTTCTGTCGCGAATCCTGGATCTTTTGATATTTTACTGATCGAATACTTTGTTCTAGATTTCTTTTCTCTACGTGAGGAATTTTAGGATATTCATTGTTAAGCATTATCAGTCCATTTTTAACAGTGTTTTGATTGGGTGGTATAAATTAAAACAACTTTTAAAGCTTTTTGGTCAAAATACCACAGAACATGAACTAAGTAGTTGGAAAGAAACAAAACAACCAGTCTTTAATTTCAATAACCAATTGATTATATTTTGATATTTTGTTTTTAGTATGTACCTCAAGACCTGTTACCAGTATATAGAGATATGATAATACCATTAGCTGATATATTAACACCTAACCAATTTGAATTAGAGTAAGTCATATACAATTTGGAAATTGCAAGTAGAATATAAACTTTTCAGATTCAAACATGATTGCTATTATGTAGAATACTTTAGGCAAAGTAAGCAGGCACACTGAGAAGTCAAATACAGGAATATTCTACAGCACACAGACTTTGGATCCAAATTTTGCGCTGTTAAAATTTTTCTAGCTTACGAATATATATATTAAAGGGACAAATTCCCTATCTTTTTGACCTATTGTACCTTAGTCTCAGAAACTGGAATTTTTTAGTAATCAGTAATAGTGCTCATAGCTCACTGTCAAAATCCATGTTGTCTAGAATTATCCACAATTGAAAGTTAGTTAAAAGACATATATAGAAATATGAATTGTGCAATTTTCCTACATTTCTAGTACTTTTGAAAGCTATTTACACATATTCCAAACCCAAATCACCCCCCGAAAAATGGCAAATCTGTCCTTTTAATGACGTAGTATGCACAAGCCTCAAAATAACTAGAAATTCTTTGTTTTTAATCAATGTCAAGAGATGGGATACTTCTTGTATTTTAACTTTATTTGCTTGTAAGTGTTTTGAAAACAGTCCTTATTAAGATATTCTCTCCAAGACATTCAGTTTTAAGGTTTTACATTTTGATATAACTGCCATTTCAAAAGAAAAACCTGATAATGTCAATATTTATAGAGTATTAACAGAGAAGAAGATAGAGGGATTAGAAGACGCTCTATCAGCTATAGATATATTACATAACCGTGGTGTACCAACAGTAGTGTTGAGTAGTAGCAACTTAGGTACCAGTGGTACATTATTATGTGTAGCAAGTTCAGTTAAAAGTAAGTTTTACTATTTTTGTGGTTATTTTTAAGGAATTATTGGATTATAGAGGGATTCTGTTGTATAGTTATGACAAGTTTAAAAGTTTTTGGTCATCCTAAGAGGTAGTTACCTTTAAGTTAACCTAAAGTTAAGCAAAGGTCTTGTTTTCTCAGGGTAAATAAGCAACCAAACAAATTGATTATGCATATATATTGTTAGTATTTATTACATCACACATTTTTTCCTACATTTTTATTTTAATATATGTTTATGTCTATTGTAGATGGTAAAAAAGAAATATATAAAATAGAATTTCCCTTATTACCTGCATTCTTTAGTGGAACTGGTGATTTGTTTGCTGCCAGCCTATTAGCATGGTCCCAAAAAGATCAAAATTTAAAGGTATGTTTAACATAATTCCAACAATAACAACAATAACATTGATTTGTATGATAGCAAAATTTATGATTATTTATTGAAGCTTGATTGACTGTATGCTGGTTTTCATTTTCATTAGATATTTGATGACGAGTGTAGTTACTTGCAGACAAAAGAAAACCTGATCTGCATTTTAATCAAATTTCAAGCTGATCGTTAATTTTTCTATTATGGGTTATTTGAATTGAAGTGGTAAGAGTAATGGAAACAGACGAAAATACGTCTTGCATTAGTAACAGCATTATTTCCAAATTTGGTGAATATCATCTCATGGTGACGATGTAGATTGTTGAAACGTTGTGTACAATAAAACCCAGGATTAGTAAAATTGTGTTAATGTGCTCTCACCCATAAATGCTGCTTAAGGTATTGTAATCATCAGGAGTTAAAATGTAAAAATAATTTTTCTTTCACTTGATATGTTTCAGTTAGCATTAGAGAAAACAGTGTCTACAGTACAAGCAGTCATTAAAAGAACATTGAATTATGCGAAATGTAAGTCTTTTACTCTTTATAATATGCTTTTCTCACTTTTCTGTTTAAATACATAATGGATAAACACAGTAGAGGGAGATTTTCCAAGGGAATTAAAAAGTGTTATAACTGACGTAAAAAAGGGACAACGACTTATTTGGTTTATTGTTAATAATGAGATAAGGTGCACAACTTATGTCTTCGAGACTAAGTTAGTTTATCAACCACTGAGATAGATTTAATGTGGAAGACTTTGTTACTTTGATGTTTGTCAATTAACCTATGGATATCTCCAATGTTCAACGATTTTTTGTACAGTTTTTTTGATTCAGAGAAAGTAGGTGGTAATGTAGACAACAGGCAAAGGCCCATTACACTCAATCATTGCTCTATCACTTGCACCTGATAGTGTCTGGCAAAAGGGTGCAACTTGTGTGGTCATTTTAGCTGCTGACGATTGAGCTGGATTTTATATTTGATAAGGCCTTTCGAATCAAAGAATAGAATAGATATTTACACAAGAATTTCATATTCATGTATAATATTCCCGGAAATTGATAATACCCCTGGGAATTTATATATATCCCTGGGATTTTAGGAGATATACAATCCCGCCAGAACAATGGGATGATGTCACTAGAGTTTTATGAATAAATTTATAGAATATGCTTAGTCATTAGTTAGAGCACTAGTTATCTAAATCAAAACTGTAGCAACTATCTTGTGAATTCACAGTGGGAAAATAATTTCACATAAATGTATTACCATTTATAGCCTTGTCTGCAGAGAACGAACCTTCGAAGAAACAGTTAGAATTACGAATAATACAGAGTAAAAAGGACCTAGAGAATCCTGAGATAATCCACCATGCTGTACCAGTTTGACACAGTATTAGACTGTAGGCCTCAAATGCAAATCATTCCTATCTAAATTGACTGGGCATAATATCTTTTATACACTAAAAAAAATCAATGTTTTATATACATATATCTCTTTGTGATTTTTTTGTTTTCAGAAGATTATATTTTTTACTCTGAATTAGATATGATAAAGATAAAGGCTATTTCTCATTTCTAGATAAATTCAGAAAAGTTATATTTGAAACCTGTGTTAGCAGGTAACAGGATTTATCTCAAGGCATTCGTGAGCACAAAATTTAATGTTTTTTACCTCATGAGCATATAATTAAATACATAATTTCGTGGGTTCCCAAAAGCATTTTTCCATAGTGCATTAAATTTTTTGTGGCTATACGATACCTCGTGAGAAAATTCTTTTATTTTTCTATATTAGTCGACTGGATTAAGTAGATTGTGTTAATGTTTGCTTGATATATCGATGCAATAAGTGTTTCTGTGATTAGCATTAAATAAAAGAAGTTATGCATTGATTTATATTATTAATTATTTATCCTTTTAGGGGAAGAAATCAAATAAACTAAAAGAAATTTATAGTATACTACTCTGGAGTTTTATTGTACACAATGTTTTAATATTTCCTCATTTCACCTGATAGATGACAAATGTAAATTGCTGAAACGTTGTGTACAATTAAACTTAGGAGTAGAATAGAGTAGAATACCATTTAATTGCTTTCTGTTGTTTAATATTAAATATTATTGCATTTCAGATATTTATGACCCCTAAAAGAGCATCATTTAACAAATTTTGAAGTAATGTAGTTCTAAATCAGTTTATAATTAGTGTTTGCCGTTTTTAGTTTTTGAATAGATTATTGATATACATTATCATGAATGGAAATTATATTTTTTATAGACAATAATGTTAATTGAAGGGACAGGTGTGCCATTTTTTTACCAATCGTACTTTAAGTTTCAGAAACGAGAATTTTTTACCTAAGCCAATCAGTAATAGTGTTCACAGCTCACCATCGAAATTTGAGCCTCCAAATCCATGTGTGTCCAAAATTATCTGCGTTTGAATGTTAAAATGACGACTCATCATTTTAAGAAACTCTGTGATATACAGAAATACATATAGGAATAATGAGTAGAATTCCTGGTTTAAAGTATTTTTAAAGGATTTACTTTCATATTTTGTTCTCCTGAAGACTATTTACATATTGAACTCTCAAGTCCTCAAATTGACCCAACTGTTCCTTTAAAAATTGAAATATTGTTATTATCACTGTTAAATATGGCAGTGTACACTCATATTAGACGTAATGTTGCCCAGACTAAAATGTATAATGCTATTTAATCAATTAAGGTTTAGTTTGATATCAGATTAAATATGTTGATTTTTACCTTGTCTTGTTTTGTATTTAATTGACAAGAGCTTTTTGTATCATTTTCATCCATCACATAGGCTGAGAAGTTCCTTGATTGATTTCACCCTTTATAAATCTTTGCACTGGGTGATTAGATTTCAATTCTTGATTCAAGTTGATAGATTAACTTGCATTAAAGGCATTGAAGTCATTTTAAAATTTCTTTACTGATATTACTTACTGAAATCTGAAATTCAGTTTGTCTACAATTTAATAAAAACAAAACTACATTAACAGGTGCAATTGTCTAAGACTCCAACAGCTGTTATTGTCATTCTATTAAGCAATATTACTGATAATGTTACATGACGGATGAATGAATAATAGTCTTTGAAGTTAAGCCAGAAGTATTATTTCACTCTGAAAATTGATACCGGTGGAACAAAAAAGCAGATTAAGAAAATAGATGACAATATCCCTTTAATGTTCTGGTAATATATTAGATGATAGTAATATTTTAATAAGTCATGGGAGCCACAGTGAGATATATGCTAAAATAATACCTTTAGACTTTTCAACCCAGTTTCCCCTGTCAGTGATACAGGGGCTGACATGGAAAAGGCGTCTTGTTGTTAGGATAGGACAACAAGTCAACTCCCCTACAGTGCTACAGGTTGTGCAGATTTTAATTCTGCAAAGATCAGTGGGTAGATTTTTTAAAAAGTCATGTTTTTGTTTTAACATTTTTATCATGGAGACTGCATAGTCTGCAATTTACATTATCCATTTTTCTTTATTTTTTCTGATCTGAACTTCATTTATACATTTATTCACATACATGTAGATCATGTTTCATTCAAGGTTAGTTAAAACCCAGGGAAGGTGTAAGCTTATATTGAATACAAAACAAATTATCATGGTGTCAGATTATTTGTAGGTCAACTGAGAATTTTGTCTTGATTTCATTGTCTGGAATCATCTGAAATAATAAAAAAAAACAACCATTTTTACGACTATTTGTTGGTTGAACTCATAGGGACAATTCAGAAAAAAAATCATGCAGGGACTATTTTGTTGAGTAAAAATAGATAGAAGTTGATACTTTATTTATGTTTGAAGCATACTCGAATGTTCACAAATTCGCTATGTTCGACTATATTCTAAAATGTTTCAGATAACAAGAGACATAAAAAGGCAGATATTTTTTAAAACTTAAAACATCTTGATCTTCAGAAGTAGATGTCCTACCTTCAGAAATTCATCTTTTCTAATTTCACCAGGCTTGTCTAAGTCTGGATGATTCAAGGCACGGAAAGTCAAGTCTAAAATGATTTTATCACTAACAGCATTGCCAAATAGAATTTTATATAAACTGAACACTTCTCCATGAGTCATGACACCACTTTTACCAGAGTCAAAAATTTCAAACAGTAATTCCTTCTTCTTCAAAGCCGATGTTTCTGGGCTAAAAGCACCACAAATCAACAAAAATTGCTTTGGGTATATCTTCCGGGAGTTTTTATCCATATAATGCTGCATGAGATGAGGGGCAAATTTATTGCCTGCGAATTCTGGCATTGAAACACATGTGTTGTATGGTATACCGTTGATGCCTTTCTCAGAACTATCGTAGTGGGCATATCTTTTTAAAAGTTTTTCTACATCTTTGCTTTTAACTGGAAAAAAAAGTATTGTCTATTATCTGAAGTAAATGATTCTGAATGAAAGCATAATCTGGAACCACACACATGGAAATCAGAATCATGCAATAGAAGAGCTGTATGGATTCCTGATATAAATTTATAGAAATGGAATTCCATCGTACATATAGATTTAAATGACAAAGAAGAATTCAGAAGTCTCAACTGTTGGAGGTAATATCATCATTTTAGTGTCTTGGTAAGTTAATAATTATCCTCTACATATCTTACATGGTGTTTGAGTTGATATTTCTTGTATCTGTTCTGTTGTCAGAAAGGATGCTTCATTACCCTAAAATAAGTAGCATAACATGAAATCATGTAAAGTGTCATAAGCCTACAATCCCCAAGGCTTGACTTTGCAAAGACAAAAAAAAACATCAAAAGAGAGTAGACTGTTCTGAGAAAATCTGAAGTTTCATTTTGTTTCTATAATGCCATTTTTATTGACAAGGTTAAGCTTAAGCCAAATTGACAGTGATCAGTAACCACTGACAGTAGCCCACTAGCCCGACAGGCCCTCCCTTTCCGAATAAAGGGTTTGAGCCAAACTCAAAAGGGTAACTTTTCATGGGATGGATTGATTCATTAATGGTTTAGTTTTGTATTGATACTAAAAGTTTTGTTAAATTGGGCTTAAGTCATGGTGAAAAAATTTTCAAAAGCTAGTGATCTGTTCAAAGCAACTCCCATAAAATGTAACCTTTTTCGAGTCTGACCCTGAGTCTGACGTAGTATTATTTAGAGTCATAATATCCGTATATCACTTCTGTGGAAAGGGTAGGAGCATAATTGTCGGGCTACGTGATTGATAATGTTGAAGACGAGAGCATTGGGCCATTATTGTTTTTCTTTGGATATTCAATTTCTAAACAATGTAGTACTAATGACTGTTTAAATGTAATAAATTATAGTGTGTACCATTTCGCGTGAAGTGCCTTGTTTTTGTTTACATTAGTTTCACAATGACCCAAATTGCCTTCAACGAAGAAGAGTTGTAGTAAGTTCGATAACTCTGTTGTGACTGTTCTATTTTGGGAACATGACGACATTGTATATTGTAGTAGTATTGCACAACAGGATGAAACTGAATTGATGAATTTAAAAAGAAATGGTTTATAGGAAAGAAGTTGTGCAATACCCGTAATTTTGAGCCTAGTATAAATAAAGCTGAAGAGAAAATGTAAAACCACACTTCAAAATGTGAACAAAGTAGTCAGTGCGAATTGCACCTGAATTTATAAATTTGTTAAATTGCAACGACGCCCCTGAGCAGCCGAAAAGAAAAATGGTATGTGTATAACTATTATTTTTCTTTAAAAACCTTATTATTTGAATTATTGACTAATTTTAAATATGGCAAAGAATAACAATTTTCCAAGAAAAAAGTCAATGCATTGATATTTTTGCAGAAACTTGAACGTCTTGCTTTATGACATAAAAACTAAAATAATGATGAGTCCGAATTGATTGCAGGTGAATTTCTCGAAAGAACAACTGAGGTCGGTGATGGACCATCAGAAAAACATCCGTAATATGGTTGTGATAGCCCACGTTGATCATGGTAAAACGACCCTGACTGACTCCTTGTTAGCCAGAGCTGGTTATATTCCTATGGATCAAGCTGGTGACAAGATGGCTACCCACACCAGGGAGGATGAAAAACAGAAAGGAATCACCATCAAATCCACGTAAGGACATTTTTAAAAATACCCCTAAAACGATAAGTGACAATTGATTGTTAATGAAAACGTTTCAAAGGAGGTTTTGTATCCTTTTCAAGTGTAATTCTCCAAATTGTCACAGCCTTACTTGAATACACGACTACAGTCAAACTGGTGCAGGGATTGGTAAAGAGTTATGGTCACGGTTTCTAATTTCAGAAACAAACCTATGGCTAAAGCCTGGAATTTCTCTACATGTATAAAGCACGCTCCATCCCTCCTTGCAGAAGGGCCTCATCGCTAATAAGACTGCAGTATGCCTTCTTTTTCAGTGCAATATCTCTTTATTATGAGATGGATGAAGATGATGAACAAACAGGAAACAATGGTTACCTGATCAATCTTATTGATTCTCCTGGTCATGTTGATTTCTCTTCTGAAGTAACGGCAGCTCTCCGGGTGACTGATGGGGCTATGGTGGTAGTAGATTGTGTTTCTGGTAAGTAAATATGATATTTAGTTATGCACATCTATGTTGTGCTCCGGTGTCAGATAAAATCAACCTAATTAGGCGCATTCAATAAAATTCATTGAATACCTTAGTTCTAGGTAAAAGCACGTTTTTTTTTTTTTACAAATTTGACCGACAGACCCACGACAACGAAATAGAACAGGTAGAGGTGGCAAATTCGGAGCACACGATTGTTGTAGTTGTGATATAGACTAGCAGATATCCTTTTCCAACCGAATGCTCTTCACTATTCCATGAGGGAACTCTCGGAAAATATCAAAACCTCAGGTATCGTTTCTTTCAATGCCACCTTCTGCATTACAGGTGTCTGTGTGCAGACCGAGACTGTATTAAGACAAGCTCTGACAGAATACATTAAACCAGTTTTAATGATGAACAAGTTAGACAGACTGATCTTCGAGAAACAACTATCACCAGAAGAGATCTATCTAGGTCTAAGAAAAACCATTGAAGACGTCAACGTTATCCTGTCCGTATATGGTGATGCCAGTTCACCAATGGGTGATATATCGGTAAGCAAAAGACTTTATATGACTCTCTTAGGGAAAAAATGAGATTATAGTTGAAACTATTTTACAAAATAACTGCTTATTGTTAACTGCATCTTCCAAAATATTAAGGAAGACAATGCCAATTGTTCGCTTTAAGATGCTATTATGCCATCGCATAGGCCTAGCTAATATTTTTTGAAAATACCAACTACCAAATAAGATTACATCAATGTTGCATATTATTCACATACCTCCCACCCCTGAATATTAAAAATTTTACTTTTGTTTTGTACAGCTGGATCCCACCATTGGCAATGTAGCGTTTGGTTCTGGTCTTCATGGTTGGGGATTCAATCTGAAGACGTTCGCAAAAATGTATGCCAAGAAACTGTCCATGTCAGAAGAAAAGATCATGAAGAAACTTTGGGGAGATAACTTTTTCCACCCTCAAACCAAGAAATGGAGTAAGACAGAAACAGAAGGATCTGTCAGAGGATTCAACAAATTCATTATAGAACCTCTAGTTAAGGTATCATCAGAATAAGTGTTATGATTCTAGACTGGCGACCATCCTATTGTAAGCACTGATATTTGGATAACTGTCACTCAATGTCGCTATTCTTCCGCTTCTCAGCGTAGCCTTTAACGTTATAGGGCCATCTCCTGGAACCATTTCGACTGGGTGACCCTACCTATGTCCTTGACTTAAGAGCAGGCATAAAATCGATCAAATGATCTGTATTAAGCAAGTAAAGGGATTTCTACGAAAGTGTATTAATGTTTCCCTAGTAGCTGGCAAATGAATTCTGATACAATGTTGATGATCATCGTACATTTTGAATGTTGTGTCAATTTGACATATTCTGTTGGTATTTTAGGTTCTTCAAGCATCCAGAGATGGTGATAAAGAAACAACCAAGACCTTGGTGGAGAAAATTGGTCTGACGCTTAACAGCACTGTAATGGAAAAAGAAGGCAAAGACTTCATGAGAACAGTGATGAAAAAATGGGTGCCAGCAGCAGACTCTATGTTAGATATGATCATTCACCACTTACCGTCGCCAGTGACCGCCCAGAAATACCGAACTGAGGTCCTGTATGAAGGACCCCTTGACGATGAAGCCGCTATAGGTAAGCGCTTTCTTATATTTTTAGCCCACCCCGTTGTTTTCTGTGCCCTCGATACTCACGTGCAGCTCATTGGATCAACGTCTAAACAGAATATACCCTATATAGCGCGAATGAAGATGCATAGTAGACAGATATTGGTAATGTATGAAAGAGATCATTTGAATATTATTGTTTTCAGCAATGAAGAACTGTGATCCAAACGGACCCTTGATGATGTATGTTTCCAAAATGGTACCAGCACAGGATAAAGGCAGGTTTTATGCATTCGGAAGAGTGTTCTCAGGAACTGTTTCCAGTGGTTTGGATATAAGAATACTGTGCCCTGGATATAACCCCGAGAAAATCAAGGATCCGAAACTCCACAAAACGTCTGTTCCAAGGTAATTTTTGCCCTTCTTAAAACCGTTTCATTACCGTAGTTGAGCTGTAACGTTTCTTTGTAAGGAGTTTCTGTTTTTGGATTGTTAGAAAAGACAAGAAAAATAAATAGTAACATATATGTTGCTCATTGTAAGACTGTTTTCACGTTTGGGGGTTTACTTTTTTAGAGAAGTGCACCTGTTATTAACAGTACAAAAATCAGGCTTTTGATTCTTGTTCATTATTCTAGGCTTGTAGTGATGATGGGAGGCTCAGCAATGGGATTACACGAGGTACCATGTGGTAATGTCGTTGGTCTCGGTGGAGTTGACAAGTTCATTGTAAAAACGGCAACAGTCACCACATACGAACAGGCCCATAACATGAAGGTTTTGAAGTTCTCTGTTAGTCCCGTGGTAAGAGTAGCTGTGGATGTAGTGGAACCATCTGATTTACCAAAACTTGTTGAAGGAATGAAGAGACTAGCTAAAGCTGATACCATGGTTCAGGTACGTGTATCTGCTAACATTAGTAACACTTTAAGGGAAAAGACAAGAGGCAAGTGATGGTGTATGCGCTAGATTCAGTCCTGTTGTAAAAGCCTTCACTAGGAATGTGTCAGTGCGCTATGTGTTCTACCATGCACACGTGATCATATATTGTGAAGAACTCTTTTGCACAATCAGGCGTCCAACTTTCTACTTGTAATTTTAGTTTAGTAAATATATTTTTTAGACATCAGCATTCAGATGCAAAATCTTTGTTTCATATTAACTCTGAAATGAAATTGTACCATTTCTTATTGCAGTGCACTGTTGAAAGTGGTCAATATATTGTATCCGGAGCCGGAGAATTACATATTGACATCTGTTTAAATGATTTAGAAACAAAATACGCTTCAGTTCCTTTGAAGGTAGGTTTCCAGATTAGTAATGGATCATCACGTCATGAAAACTATAGTTGCATCAATCTCGCATCTTTCAGAGGCCTGAGAAATATTACCATAACGGGTATATTTTTCTAAATATTAAGATGATCCGAATTAATTTGAATCATGTTAATTTCATTCTAGAGAAGTGATCCAGTTGTAAGTTATAGAGAAACAGTAACTGAACTTTCTGATCGAGTCTGCATGTCCAAAAGTAACAGTAAACTATTTAGACTCTCAGCTACAGCACAACCTTTACCAGCTGGTCTACCAGAAGAGATTGAAGAGGTAGGTGTAAAGATACCACCGAAATTTTATGCAGATTGATGTGTTGCAAAGCTTGGGTACAATAATATAACGACTAGGGTGGGTCCTTGATGGGTTGTCTTGGAGCATATGAAGACATTGTACTTTGCCTTAAAGGACCAAATCATGTTCAAGCTAGTTTATACCAAATTAAGCCCAATATCAAGAATGTCTTACCGATACCAATATTTTTCAAGTTTTAACCATTCTTTCAGGGAAAAGTTACCACAGTACAGGACTTTAAAGAAAGGGCTCGCTATCTGGATGATAATTTCGGTATTGAGAGTGGTTTAGGAAGAAAGATTTGGTGTTTCGGTCCAGAAGGAAGCGGTCCTAACTTATTGGTTGATGGCACAAAGTCAGTTCAATACATGCAAGACATCAAAGACAGTGTTGTAGCCGGTTTTCAGTGGGCTTCTTCTGAGGTTGGTCTAAATTTCAGATATACCCTATTTTTATTTTCTCTCGTGTTTCGATCTTTTAAGAGCTTCCCTGGCCGTTGAGATTTTAGGTCTCTGTCACTGTTGGAATCTGAAACGGAAGGCCTTATTTCGCTTTTTAAATTTATAAACGGAATGTTCAAATCTACACGCGAAATGATTTTTTCTTTAACTAAACTTATGTAAAAATATTTTGAATTCTTCAGGGTGTGCTATGTGAAGAAGCAATGAGAGGGGTTCGAGTTGACATTGTTGATGCCCACATTCATAGTGATCCAGCTCACAGACGCGGTGGTCAAATCATCCCAACCAGTAGACGTGTGTTCTATGCAGCCATGTTAACAGCTAAACCGAGATTGATGGAACCTGTTTATTATGTTGAAGTTCAGGTACGTGGGTTTCTTTCTTGTCGTATTGTTTATAAATTAACAGCATTTGTACAACACGTCAACTAACTCATTTTGCTGAAACTCTCTCAAGATTACATTGATCTGAGCGTATCAACAACTAAAAGATTCCAGTTACGGTTATGTTGTCATCTGTTGTTCTACTTTCTTGCAGACAAAGGTTGGAGGTCCTTTACTCTCGATTTTGCCATTCTTTAGGGGGGATTTTTGATTGACGGAATTGTCTTGCTTGTGTGGATTTTTATCCTGTCGACTGAATAATGATATTGATTCTCTTGACTGATCTGAAACTAAAAGTAAAACTTGAATACCTTTGTGGAATTTAAGTCCAGATACGAATATATAGCTTCACACATTCTTAAATTATATTTTAAACTTGTAGTGTATTGATACAGTGTTGGGAGGTGTATACAACTGTTTAACAAGAAGACGTGGTGAATTAGTGGAAGAGTACCATCAACCTGGCACTCCAATGTGTACAATCAAATCATATCTACCAGTTAGTGAATCATTTGGTAAGTCACACATTTTCTTTTTCTTTTGAATGTAGATCTCGACAGTAGTGAACGAACCATACCAATTTAGCATTGACTAATAGCCTAGTTAAAATCCCATCTTCATTAGAAGATTTCTAATTCTAATCGAAGGCTGTATAACAAAATAAATAGTATTCTATAATTGCACTTCTTTTGATATTGCAGGATTTACACAGGAACTTCGAGGGCAAACAGGTGGACAGGCTTTCCCTACCTGTATGTTTGATCATTGGCAACTGCATCCTAGTGATCCTCTAGATCCCGAATCCAAGGCAGCCAGTATAGTGTCAGAGACCAGAACGAGGAAAGGATTACCACCAAAAATTCCAGCTTTGGAAAACTATTTAGACAAATTATAAAATTTTTACGACTAATATAAAATTTTGGCAGAGAAAAAAGAGAATAAACCTTCATAAATTTTATTATTTTTTTTTTTCAAATCCATCAATTTTCATTATAGCGCCACTCTCATTGCACTTGCACTCATATTATTTAGAAAAGCAGACTTTGTTGTTCACCTTGAGCGCGGTGTCATAAATGGCAAAATGGGACAATGTATTATTTCAAAGAATATAAGGAATGAAGAAAAGACGAATCCCGTAACACCTTGGCAAGAGATTTATTATGTCAGAATACAAGCACCATTCATCGAAATGCCCGTAACGCAATCGTTGGTAGGTTGGTAGATGACCAGTTAACGTCCGCTGGTTGTTGGAAGTAATCGTAGTAATTGATGAAGGATTGGTAGGCTATACAATCGGATGATTCTGCACTATTAGCTTGGTAGTTGAGAAGATAGCACTAAACTTCTGTCCCCTACCCTGCAGCCCCATTGACAGGAATGAATTGGTGCTGGGGTTCGGATTTTGAGTCTAGGTGGAGAGGACGCAGTCCGTCGCCTTGAAGGGAAGAATTAAAGCGCGAGTCGACCATAAGGTGGTCCAGCTCCCCTATGCAATTTTGAACCTTAAAAGCCAAGAGAACGCATTTATGACAATCACCTTTCCGCGTGGTTTCCACAAATTCAACGTCCGAAGCCGCGAAACCACAATCGACAGATCTTAGGTTATACGTCCTCCGTCATAAAATTTGAACTCTAGAACTCTACTCATTTCTGACGATTCTGAAGCGCGTAAACGAAACCAGTTGAACACCATCACAAATTATTCACTGCTGTCGGCTTGTAGCATTGAACATACGTTCGTGGGTGTGTGTGTGTGCGGGGGGAGTGGGGGGGGGGCACATTGTCCCCTCTTGTAGCTGCAGCGCCAACTTTCCGAGACTGACACAGATTGCCTTGATGGAGTGGACAACTGTCAAGGTTGAATATGGCAGCTTTGTGGAAGCGTCATTCATGAAAAGTATAATTGATTTGGTACAATCTGACACATATTTTGGGTCAAAACATATAATAATTCATATTGCCTATATAGAAATGATGTGGGGGTACAAATGAGGTGCAAACTATTTTTCTATGGGGGCCATACCCATTTACCCAATACGGGCCGCCACTGCCTGCACATTTATGCCCAACCCTGAAGACGTGGCTGTTGCAGCGCTGCACAGCAGTTTGAGCAGAGCCTATATATACGCTCTGTTTTGAGATAGATACGATTGCTTGTTACTATTTATATCATTGTAGTCTCGAATATCACCGAATAAAGTTATTGGTGAGAAGGAAAATCGGGAAAGCAAAGACTACAATACTGCCAGAGATTTTGACCAATCAGAGAAGATATTATTATTTGTTGTGTGACAGCAAGATGGCGTCCTCCATGAGTGCCATGATTTTGAAAAGATTACAAAATATTTGTCAACTACGACCACGACATATCAACATACAGCGAGTAAGACATATTCTTGAATTATCTGTAAAGATCTACAGCTACATCTCATCTGTCATCGCTTACTGTTCGACCTCTTTTCACCGTTGTTTTTAATAAAAAATATGCCTAATTTCCAATCATTTTAATGTGAATGTGGTCCATAAACATTACAATGCGTCATTGATGAGATCTAATTGTCTAAATTGGCCCTGGCCTATATTCATTTTATAGTTTAATATTCAGATTTATTGCTTGCACCTTTCTGAATTTATTGATGGGAAATTGAAATGATTCTTTCACTCTCGCCATAAAGATTTGCATTATTGTAGCTGACTAATATAAGCAAACTTTTTATTGCTGCCTTATTAGGCCTAGATAAAAGAGGTATGAAATCACTTCCTTGACCCTTTGAACCCTGAGTATAAATGAAATAAAATACCATATACAACATGCATATGCCCTGAACTTCAAGTAATATAGGTAAAAGTCTATGACGTAAACATTGTGGATTTCGCTGTTCACTGATCAAAAAATCTCTTCTCAAACCATTTATTGATGTACCAATGGAGTAATTAGTCCAGAAGTCTGGCATTGTTATTATTAAAGCTCTGTTGTAGTCAAAATATTATTAATTTGTACCGTATATTACAGAATAGATATGATTTTCGTAATGTGCCACCAGCTCGTGAAATAGAAGCATGCGAGGATGTTTTTGAAGAGATGGAATCTAAAGGGATACATATGAAGAAACAACCAGGTGCAGTGCGAAAACCTCTAACAAAGTTACCAAAAGTTCTACATAATGCTGCTACTGTGTTACTTGACAGTAAGTGTGAGAACATATCTGCCTAAGAAAGTAGACTTTTAATGCCTACTTCTCTTCATCTGCTGGGTTAATGAAGACACAATTTAAATCTGTTTTTGGGCCTTTTAAATTGTATCAGGTATACTTATATATTTATAGATCTCTTTGCTACATTCAGTTATTCCAAGCTGGACCAGATTATTGCCATGCTTTTGCAATTATAACTCAGCTGAAATGCTTAACGGGACAGTTTGCCATCCTTTTGACCAATTGTACTTTAGTATTAGAAATTGGAATTTTTTAGCTAAACTAATCAGTAATAGTGTTTACAGTTAACAGTCAAAGTTTGAGCCTATTCAAATTCATGTGTGTCCAGAATTATCTGCTATTGATAGTTATAATGACAACTCATCTTTTCTTGAGACTCTGCTGTATATTTACAAAAGACATAAATAGAAAGTGAAATTCCTAGTTTTAGGTATTTTTGAAGGAATTATGCAATTTTAGTACATTTCTGGTTCTTCTAAAGACTATTTACATATATTCAGACCACAACCAACCCCCGAAAATGACGAGCCAGATCCTTTAGAATCCACAAAAAAAGCCAGGAATGTTTGTTCCAAAATGATGAAAAAACGCACTATTGCAAACAATATATTGTTCTAATTTTTGTTGTAAAAAAAGCATGTTATATTTCTGAAATATCTGAATAATGAATTCTTTAGTGATTAGTGTGGTTATCGAGTTACTATTCAACAGAAGGCACTGGCAAAGGGTTAAAGCAGTGACTATTCACTATTAAGTCTAGTATGTTAAAATGGAAATTCGTATTACTTTTAACATAGACATTAAAGTAAAAAATATCATCATATCTTTACTTTTACACTTGAGAAGTTGATATCCAATTTATGCTTATTCATCTATTTAGAGTATCCAGTAAAGGATCTTAATACACATTCTAAGAGACTACAGACTTTTCTGAAGGTACGGAAACATAAAGTTACACCAGAGGAATATGAAGAGTTGATTGCAGAAAAAATAAAACTAATAAAAAGTAAAGGTATGTGTGTGAAAGCTTTTATGTGAGTTTTCCTTTGGTTGTGGGAAGGGAGTTGTAATTAATGCCAGTTCTTTTATAGAAAATGTGGAACTATGAAAAAGTGACAGCAATGTTCATGTGTGTTCCTAATTAGTTAGAATAAGTGATCTGAGATGGCATGACATAAAAGGGTGGAAATATTGGGAATTTGATATTCGAAGAGGATCTGTTTATGTCAAAGATTTAAGTGATGGAGAATCCATTGCTGCAACTTTTGAAATTATTTTTACCAGATGATAAAATAAATATTTAAATGATTATTTCCCTTTCATCAGAAATATTACTTTAATGATGACATCTATTGTTTATATAGAAGGTATAACGGAAGAAGAAACTCGGAATCCTGGATTTGAAGAGAAGCTAAGAGCCAAAGCCATTAAAAAACTTAGACCTGCTTATAGCTGGTCGCCAATGAAGTAAGTTAAAATTCAGTCTTAAAAAAAGGTCTTAAACAACCAAGGATTAGCAACATGCCCGAACCCAGTATATATTATTTACACCCGTTTATTGCTGTGTTGACTGAAATAAGGAGGAAGGATGGCTCATTTAAGGTCACAAGACTTTCACATACTGACATAACCAAGTAAATCACTATTATTGACGGTGCCACAGCCCATCCTTCCCTAGGTGTTTTGAATGATCTCATAAATAAATACATTTACATTACAGTTACACTGGAGCTAAAGTTATTCAGTATTTGGGAGCTAGGTTAACTGGTGATTATAGTGCAATAGTTGCTTGTTTGAATGAGGTATGCTTTGTTAATATATTATCACATATTATCATATTGACACTTCTACATAGGCATACAGGCCAAAGGCCTGTGGAGGGAGCAGACTGATTTGCCCGAAATTTTCCATCAAATTTTCGGGCTGTTACCTGATATTTATTTGTTCGCTGCGCGAAAAGATAATATTTGGGGTGGCAGCTTCCCACTCTATCTCTTATGCCTATGCACCTCTGAGCCCCTCCAACGCAAGTGAATAGAATAGAAAATGAGATTCATCTAGACAAGTTCTAGAATAAACTGACACATTTTATATAAGAGAAAGATCCTTTGAATAATTGATGAGGATGAGAATTTTTCTTACGATTTTCTGTTTGTATCTCCAGATTTATGCAAGAGACCCTGATTTCTCCCCAATAAATGTGTTTGATTTTGGTTCTGGTTTAGGAACAACTGTTTGGTTGGTATTATTTTTACTAGAAATACATTTTCATACACACATTACACAGCATGTTGAGCAGGGCTGTTGATATCGCTCTATCTTCCAAACATAGTTAGCAGAGCACCTCAAATGTCTGAGACTCACAAGCTTTTGTCAGATGTAAGTGTAGGTCGAACATTACATATATTTTGGTCAAATACATTTGACACAAAGTGGTTAATTACTTTGGGGTATTAGAATGACAATTGTTGGCATTCAATACAATTTATTGCAATAATAAATAACGACACATTTATTACAGAACAAAATAACTATGAATGATTTACATTACAACATTGGCATCTTGCTCAATATAATCCATTAGTATTCCTATATACAACCGTTAAGTATAGAACTTGACCGAATCACAACATAGTACCAATTGTCATTGACTTCTGAAGACAAATCTTAAGTTGAGGAGGTTTGGTTGAAAGAAATATTGCGTGCACTATAAAGAGCAACTTAGGCAGTACAAGATAATGTTTATCTTCTTTCTTTGCATATAATGTTTTAGAAAAGAAATCTTTTCCAGCTTTAGCTACACTCTAAAAATCTAACATGGATGCTCATATCTACAGTGATTATTGCCTGGCAGAATGGCTATTTTCTGTGGTCAGATTCACTCTCTCCAATGCTCTGATAAAATATATTTTTGTGTAGAATGTATTGAGATCTGTATTTTTCAGGGCTACATCTTCAATTTTTAAAAAAGCAAAGGTAGAGGATTTTTTGTGTGTAGATCATTCTGCTGATATGAACACTGTGGCTAGACTTCTCCTGCAAGGTAATTTCTTGATAGCCAATAGTTTGTTTTTGCTCATATTGTAATCGGCACTTACTGTTGTATTCTACGACAGAAATTTAGATTGGTTTCTACCCATTTATGTACAGATCATTGTCTTAGTTGAATTTCATATGCATTTTTCAAGGGTCAGATAACTTCGGTCTGGTCTCTACTACAACTAAGGTCCTGGGTTCAATCCCGACATAGGTCGAGATGATACCTTTAGATTTTTCAACCCGGTTTGCCCCTGTCAGTGATGCAGGTAAGAGGGACTGACATGGAAAAAGCATCTAGTCGTTCTAATGGGACAATAAACTGGGGCCCAATGTTTTATAGACTGCACGTTAACGATCTCTCAACAGTTGGAAATCAAAAAAGAGCAGGCTCCCTCATTGTAAACTGCATGATGTTGCCCGTCTTCATTAGCCTACATAGTGGAGAAAAGTAGGATGTAAAACTACATTCATATCATTTCATTTTCATTTCTATTACAACTAAACTGAAACCTATAATAAAATGAGATGAAATGTATGTAGTGTTAGATAAAGAATTGGTATTTGCTTGTGGAATTACTCATCACAACTAGTGCTTAAGCTCTTTGAGATTGAATTCAAGAACAAATCCTTCTGTGCATTGGCTGGAGTATATTGTACAAAACATCTTTAAAAATCTAACAGCAATTTATTTGCAGATGGAGAGGAAGATGGAATAATGAAATTACCAGTTCATTTTCGAACCAACATGCCATCTGATAAAAAGGTAAATGTGAAAAATTTGAAATATACTTTAGTTATTGCCCTTTTGAATGTATTGGCGTCACCCATGTCAGTCTGAGAAATCAAAACCATTACACCATAATAACATAATACTATGTTATCTATTCTTACAAGAGGATATTTTTTCTGGAATAGCTGGAACCACAGGCATTGGACGAAGAATCGGATTGTCCCAAATAGAAGTTAAAGGTGTTCCTAAAAACACATAGAAAGGCTAGAAAACTTCTTTCCAATCCCTTTAATAGCTACATATGAGAAGATATTTTTAGAAAGTGTATTGATCGAAGTTCACAAAAACCCAAGGACTGAACATTAAATTTCCACATGAAGTACCGGTACTCTTACAGAAGCCGAGGTAGAGATTCAAAATGGCCTTGAACGTCGTTGGTGTGCGTTATTTCCATGTAAGAACCATAGATATTCTGATAATGAACACTTAAGATGTGGATATAGCATTTGAGTAATTACTTAAGTTGATTATAGTTAATCTGTTAATAATTTTAGATTAGAAACCTTCATATTTATTACTATTTTTTCAAATTTTTCAGAAAAAGTTTGATTTAGTAGTGTGTACTTATACCCTAATGGAGTTAGAAAGCAGGGAAGAAATACAGAAAGTTGTTGAGTCGCTATGGAATATGACTGAAAATTATTTGGTATTTATGTTTTTTGTGATTTACATTTCATACCAATGGTTTTAAATTGTTAATGCAATTTATTGTCAAGCAAAGATATTTTTGTCTGGTCCAATTTAACACATTAACTCAAGCCATTGAGTAATAGAAACTAAATTTGCATTGTGTTAACTACTAATTGAACTACCTAAAAGTAAAGTGGACAGACCAGGATGTTTATGAAGAAATTTATTACCACTCAAGAGCGAATCGAAATAAGTTCAAAAATGTATTCTGTTTATGAGTTTTATCAGTTATATTTTTAGAGTGGTCTTGAATTTTAGAAATTTCATTGCGGGCATAATATATTTCCATGCTTGGCAAACTAAATTGAAACTTAAAAGAATACTATCTCTTAGACTGGACATGAGATTTAAAGTCTCATACTTAGTCAATAAGTATATTTATTCATCAGTTGGACTGACTAAGAGGTAGTATACATTTAAAAGTGATCAAAGCTCAGATTCCAGATCCATACTGCTAATTTACAACTGTGGTCTTAAAGTAAGGTGTATGATATAATTATGTGATATTTTATTTACCTAGGTTCTTGTAGAAAAAGGTGGTCAATCTGGTTTTAAATTAATGCATGAAGCGAGAGAGCATTTATTGAAATTATCTAAAGAATCAAAAGAAGGACATATTTTTGCTCCAGTAAGTGTACATTTTAAACAAAAATACTGATGGTGTATTTAGATGGTGATGACAACAGAACATGGAAATCTGTATCTTGATGCATTGGATTAAAACCCAAATTTGGATACTTTCGAGTATCAGGAATTGTCCTAAGACCCCAAACAGAATTTGCTTTAAAATTGATGGAATTTTGAACTGGATTAATGGATTAATATTTAGGTATTGTTTCAAAACATCAGATATGGCCACTTGATATGACATGACTCTTTAATTTTTAGTGTCCTCATCATGGAGCTTGTCCCAAGTTAACAGAAACAAATACTCCTTGTTTTTTTGAAGCCAAATATGCGACCTTTGAAAATATTGAATCTGTAAGTTAATATGGATAATTATTTTTGTTTAAAATCCATTATTGAAAATTTTATTAACAAGTTATGACTATTCATGTTTGGTTCAGGGCCAGCGCCATGTTCCTCAAAAAAACAAAATCTTGGCCCTTGTAAAACCTTTCAGTGTTCAATGAGAGACATTTTTTAAGAATTACAATCATTATCACCAAAAGGTTATATTTTTTTTTCTATAGATGAGATGTCAACAAAAATGTCAATAGTTTTGCCCTAAACAGTTTGCCCATGTCTAATAGTACAGATGCAAAATGGCAAACATCAGTAGGGAATTGTCAAATTATCAAAGCACATTGTGAAACTAGTAGCAACAACATATTTCAGATTTTTTTTTAATATTTCTCCTCCAGAAAGGTTACGAGAAAGAATGGTTTAGCTATGTGATTTTCAAAGTTGGTCCAAAAACACACAGTGAGTAAATACTGTTGTATATTTTTGATTAATAATCAGTGCAGCCCCGTTGCCAGGAAAGAATTGGTGCTGGGGCTCAGATTTTGTACTAAGACAAAAACTTATCTAAATCTATATCTGTTTGATTTAGTACAAATCAATCTCTGAACTGAAGAAAGTTTTGCTGGGGCTTAATTCTCACTTGCTGGGGCCCAACTCCACTGAACCACCCTAATGATGGGGCTGGTTCAGTGGTGACTGTCATTAGGAGTTTAATGTTGATGGAAGTTTTTTGTAGATTCTCAAATCCATATGAAAATCACTTTTGGTCCATTGCAATAGATTTCAAACCAGGAAGATGATGATACAAAGCTAAACAGACCTGCTTTCTGTAATCAGTACTATAAATACAATACACTCGATAGTCTGCAACATCTGCCTCTATTCCAACTTCTGATAGCTATTTTAACAGTAAGTTGTTGACCAGAGTAGAGTCAGAAAACTTGGCCTCATTTTATATTTTGGAATATAAGTGTCACTAATCTTCAATGCAATCTGGTGCTGACATAGTGCCTCAGGAAGCTAGTTACTTTTACCAATCTGCTAACCAATGTATCTTTTTTTCTACAATAGGGTCCTTTCCCAGATTAGTTAATGAAACCCTCAAACGAAATGGTCACACACATTGTTATTTGTGTTGTTCAGATGCCAAGTTACGTCATGTCATTTTCAGCGCATCACAACATGGCAAGTAAGTGAAATTTGTTCTTGGGAGAAAACTCAAAAGAAACAATCGTTTGCATTCAATAAATTTTCAAAGACTTGATATTCAACTTGCATCCATCTTGAAAAGTCCATACACTTATGATGCTCATTTGTTACTTTGTTCTCATTGCGAATGTATGTTTCAACAGCTATTTGTATCACTACAGAATCGAAATCAAAGTCTGAAAAATGATACAGATAGCTGAAATTGTGCTCTACCAGCTGAGACAGCATATATTTAGATGCCCATTTTGCAGACATCCGTATGCTTTTATTTGAGACATAACTGTTTTCTGTGTGTGCACACAAGGGAAGGGGCATAACTCTAATTATGTCTGATATGCCATGTTTCAACGAACTGTTAATTTGTTTAACCACACATTTTATCAAAGATGAGAATGCGTGGACAAATTAGGCTCAACTGTATCTCTTTGACCCTAATCTATTTGGTTTAAAAGAAATAGAAGAAAGATGAGCAGTGAAACGAATTACAATAATAAATTCAGAAGAAATCAACAAGTCTATAATATACAGTCAAATAGCATATAATACTGAAACTTAGAAATATCTCATTAATATATACCAAGTGGTTGAAGCATTTTAAATTTATATTCTAGGCAGTTGTTTAAATGTACAAGATCAGCTAAGTGGGGTGATATGTTACCAGCTAGAGTGAAAGTTGTATACGACGAACAAAATTCTCTCATTAAAGACAATAATATCAAATCAAATGTGAACAAACAGTTCTTACATGGCAATATTGATCATATTGATGATGAGTCCGTGATCAATCATCAATATGAAGAATTATCTGTGCACAATCATCCAAAAGATAAAAACTCATTTGTGGACAATCATCCAGATGAAGTATTACCCGAGCACAACTATCCAGATGAAGAATCATCTGTCGACAAGAGAGAAGAATCAATTGCAGATGATAATGAAGAATTATCTGTTAACAATATGGAAGAATCACTTGCTGATGATAAGAAAGAATCATCTGTTGACAAACAATGATGAGTAATTGCTGTAATCATTGAAAACTTTTTAGTAGAGGGATTGCTTGAATTTGGACCAATCAGTCATAGGTCAAATGGAGATACTGGCAATGTAATTTGTTCAACATGTGTGTGTGTGCATCACAGGATAGACTAAGTTTGTCTTGCCATTTGCCTTGCTTCTGCCATTTATGCAATTTTATTTTTTGCGTATTATGGCTTAGCCAAAGTGAAGAATTTGTTGAAAATAGTGTTAACTAGACAAAAGCTAGGGTTTGACTTAAAAGGTCACAAATGTGAAGGTTAATGCTGCAGGCAAGACGAACAGTCTTTGTCACCAACACAAATCTTGAGTAAAATCTCATGTGTGACTGGTCTTCCACAAAAAGATTATCCAGTTGTTGGATTTATAATATCAAACCAGTTCGATAATTGTCATTGATTGTTTTACCATCTGCAAGACAGATCATCATCATCCAATCAAATTCATTTTCCTTTCAATTGCATTTTCCTCATGTGATAACGACATAGTGGAAAACGACAGACTGAAGATATTTGGACTCCTAGTGTGCCCACAAATGGTCAGTGAATTCTTGACTAGACTCTAGTCGGCGACTAAGCATAAGGGAAGACCCATCTGTGGATAACACTTATGACACTCAAGAATTCTGAATTTTACAGATTCTTTTGGAATGTCAACAGTAAATGAGTACTCTTAGTATTAAAATGACTTTGCGTGCGTGTACAAAGACGTAATCATGAGCACACATTTGAAATTTGAAAATTCTTTTTACATAGTATATTTTTCAGTCAAAATGTGTGACATTGAATTTGCTGGGAGGCAAGTCCGTTTGTATTCAATGTAAACTTAGTCAAATGTATATTTTTATCAACACGAAGTCATTCTTAGACTAAATGTACTGTTTTCAAAATTAATGTATTAAAATTGGCTAATGTCGATTTACCAATGAACTTGCAAAGTAAACTTTAAAATCTAGCAGTAATTATCCTAGGTCTGTGACTTTGGATAATAATTCTAAGTCATTGGAAAATTTTCCACATAGTGAAATGATATTTTGTTTAATAAAATGAAGATAAATTTTTTCTTTCTTCTAATGAGAGGGGTTAGGTCCAGAAAACTGATGCAGGGAGTTCCCTTACTCGTATGCCTTAAGTCCTTAGTTGAAAAAGTTTCTTATTCTAGCGTTTGCAGCATGAGGTGTCTTGGAGAATAACTATATATGCCTGTACTCTAATCATTGAAAACAGTTTTAGTCTCCAGCTTGTAATTTTTGGTTGAATGAAATTGTAATTATATTGTTGTTGCTCCTGTCCACCCCTTCATCTGCTTGTCCAAAATCAGCATATGTAAAGCTACAGTGTTGATCTGATTTTGATGAAACATGAACATTTACATTTGAATGTGATAGACTCTACTATTTCAGTCAAATCTTTATGATTATTTGATGAAAGATATTGCTGAATCAGTAGGTGGTGGTCTCAAAATTAACAATGGGGCTCGCAGATTGTAAAATTACAGCATACCCCAACATTAAAGTGGTAAAATCTGGGAGACGATCCTCCTGTATGCTACCCTTATTTGAGGGTCTGAAGCCCCCTAGATCACTGACTGATATGTTACATTGCCTCAATTTTTTTTCATTCTTTGACTGGGATCCCTGACATCTAATCAGTCCTCAAGTAAAAATGTCCGTATGGATTGATCGTAGCTGTATTTGTGTATAGCTGGGGTACATTGTTGGCTTATCACATAGAGATTAATAAACATTGCATAGGTGTTTATAGTTAATCCCATTTAATGGTATGTTATCAACTAATGGGGTCGGGTATGACCCAGACAAGCTTTTCTCGTTCTTGGTAACAATATAAAATCCTGGTGGTAAAATCCATCCTTATTTTATTCACACTTGCAAAATAGCCAGTAGAGTCTGTGTTTCGGACTATTTACTGTCCTGTAATACTTGTCTACAAATACGCTTAAAGCACAATTTAGTTAATCGAGACTACCGGAAAGGGCGTGGCAGGTGTAGAAATGTAAACATTTACCAGTTACGAATAGGTAATGATCAGGAGTTATTGAATGGAATTTAGAAAAGTAAACTACTAAAAAGATGAAATATTTATAAGATGGGAGAATGGATTGTCAATGAATTACCTAAGTGGATTGTTGTGGTGAGTATTTTGAACCAAACTCTTTTGAACTAAACTAGATAATAAACCAACATAACTATAGGATAGGCCTAGTATTAGTAAGACCATGGTTATGATTGAAAATAAGATTTTCATCCTATAAAATAGGAAATACTTTTTAGAGATAACGGTTCCCAATGTTTATGTATTCCTCAAAATCAAGGGCCCCAGAAAACTAAGCTTATAGAGAGTGATAAGGTTGCAGTACAGTAGTCTAGCATTAAGGCATTGGCCAAAAAAAGCAGAATTAAGTCTTGACAAAGCTTTGCCCTCCCCCCTGCCCCCCATGGAAAGAAGCACCCCTTGACATGTCTGTGGCCTCTCCTCTCAACCACTCCTCACCTTACGATTCATAGAAACGCCATTGAAAGAAGGAGTTTTTATTTTGAATTTAGAAGTGCATAAATGTTGTTGTAGACTGTATGGCTGCTGATTAATACTGGTATCTTTATTGGAACATTTTTCTCATACAAAAATGACATTGAGTATTTTTATCTGCGTCTTATTGTTGGGGTAAGTAAGATTTTAAAGTGGTCACATATGTATTGTATTGATTGAATAGTGTGGAACAGTTTCCTAAAGTCCATGAAGTCCCCAAAGTTTACCTGACCATTAAAAGAATACTATCTCTTAGCCTACCAAGTGTCATTATAAACATACATTAGAATCTCTGTAAAGAATCTCTGTATAATATGATAATTCCATATAACTCAGTAATTATTGAGAGATTAGGTTGTATAGTTATGACACCACTCCAAGTAAGATTTAGTCAATAATTAATTGCCATACCTTTCTGTCTGACATCTTTGTTGTGTGTTTATTTTTTTCAGGATGCATTATGTTTTGCCAGAGCCAGTGCTGCCTGTTTGAATTTCAACTGTTTTCTTATACTATTACCTGTCTGTAGAAATTTTATATCCTTCTTACGAGGAACATGTGCTGTAAGTTGTTATCTCAGTTTGATTTTGGCAATATTCTTTTTTTCATTGCATATTTGAAACTTCATGGTCAGAGCAGAGTTAAAACTGAATGTTATGATGAAAAACATCGAATTAAATTGGATTCCTAATTATTTGAAAAAAGAGAAGATGCATTCCAAATTAAAAGGCGGTGGCGGTCATTATATTTCTTCATAAAGATAACTTCCTAATCTTTGATTAATTGACAATTTCAGAGATGTCATCGAGCGAGACGCCAGTTACATAGACAAATTACTTACCATAAATACATAGCCTATATGATATGTTTACAAACAGGTAACTTTAATTAAACTTTCTTTTATAAGTATAATATTGTGTATTTTCATTGTATTTATGTTATATTGTGCCTGCCATATATATACAATACAACTCACTCTGTTGATATTTGAAGCACGAAAAAAAATCTAATGATCATTTGGATGGGACAATACAATAAACTGAGGCCCCATGTGCTAAAGAATCCTCGACAGTTTATTAAATTTTAAAAAAGTGGGCTAATTCCCCTGTCCTGTCAAAATTGTATAACATTACAATCCTCATTTGCCTAAATAAGTGCAATAAAGCAACACATAAACTTTTATTTCAATTTCTATTGATTTTGATTTCTTTGCAGCAATTCATATAGCAGCTCACTGTTTTGATTTCGAGTTTTTGATAGAAGCCTATGATAGTCCCACAAAATCCATTCAAGCAATAACCAATTTAGATACAAGCAACAATGGTACATGGTTGAATCCTGTAAGAGTTCAGGGAACTGTAAGTAGATTTCAACTTTTACATGTGTATTAACTCTGACAAACTGTGCCCTAAATAGTGCCTGCTTACTTTTGTTGGTAAATCAAATATTTTTGTTATGTTTTATATGAAGAATAGTGTAATCTGACTCTGTGTTGACAGTGGTTAAAAATTTGTAACTTTATCTTTGACTGAAATATTCTCCAAAATTTGAAATGAAAACTCATCTCCGTATTCTGAACCAAGATAAAATACAGGTGTTCAAATAAGCACTCATCCAGTCTTTTAATATCACTAGATTATCTTGTCAGACTAGATGTCAAAGTCTATTGTAATCTGTAACCTTATTAAATAAACTTTATATGTAATTTTCTGGGCCCTTAAAAACACTTGTGATGTTAATGCTAAGAATTTTCTCCTCGTGTGCACAAGAATAATTTTTTATTTTATCTAGGATGCTACTCGAGAAGTATTTAAAACTATAGCAGGTGTATCTGGTGTGATCATAACATTATGTTTAATATTAATAGTATCTTCCTCTACAGAAACCATCAGGTAACTCAATATCTCTTCATATTTTCTTTGTATGTCTGTTTGTTATATTATTTGTATAAACCCAAATCTTAAATTACTATTTTGATTTTGTGTGCCTTTTGGCATCTGGGCAACTTTGTGATGGGTGGATAGAGATGAGTCTCAATGAAAGCATTGGCATATGACACAAATTTCATGTGAAATTACTTAATGGAAATTGTATGGGAAATTATACACTACTGGCACCATCTCTGGAATTGTTCCTGAATTTTCTGAAAATTACATATAAATTTTATATGACATGCGTCCACATTGTCCACTTCGTTTGATCTTTGAAATGTATTATAATGTATCTTTCAGGAGGTGGTATTTTGAATTATTTTGGTATACTCATCACTTGTTTATAATATTTTTAATAGGATTTGTTATTCATGGTATTCAGTAAGTAGAGTTTTCTCTTTAAAAGACATGTGATATTTTCTGATGAAAATTGAAAAAGTTGTAAAATGAAAGAAGCGTTTCAATTCTTTTCAACAATTTGCATTTAAGAAAAAAAATATAGCCCTGTCACACAGGACTGCTATCTTATGGCGACTGGAAATGTACTAGGTGTACTCAAATGTAAGGAAAACTGGAGAAAAAGTTCCAAAACTAAAAACAGTTGATCTTATACCGGCAGTCATGCATCCATGAAGTGTCTTTGCTAAGAATGTACTTTGCATCTCATGACTTTAAAACGCCTGTCAAACGATCCCATGACAATCTCAATGCTTTCTAGAACAGATCGCTGAACCTAGATTGTTTTGAACAGATCTGGGAATAGTGGCGACAATTGCATGATTTTTAACTATGTTCATATCTTCTTATATGAAATATAATAACGACACATAGTGGTAATTAACATTGTTTGTGTCAGAGCTACATTTGTTTTGTCCTCCAGGGGTATTATAAGACACCAAACTAACGTGTCTAGTCACAATCCAGAAAAATGTTACACAAGACATGATGAATGGGGCACAAGTCCTGACTGTAAAATACCCCAATTTGCTGGTTCTTCACCAAAATCTTGGATCTGGATTCTGATACCAGTAATAATCTTCATCATAGAAAGAGGGATCAGATTTTATAGATCTTTGCAACAAGTTGTCATCACAAAGGTACATGTTTCTGTTTTTTAAGGTTTTGCCTCTGTTGAATCATAATTAGACAAAGTGGTAATGCTTTTTTGAAACTGGAAGTTTCAACAGATTCATGAATAACATCCTTTAATTTTTCCCATTGCTCAAGATATGATATGATTGTTCAAAGTTGCCAAAATTTTGAAACAAGATAATGGCAAATAATCATTAAAATTTTAGCATCTCCAAAATTTCTCTCTCTTAAAGGTATTGTATAGAGGTTTTCTAAATTGTTCATGTGTATAGGAATTACTAATAGAATATAATGCACCATTCCAATTTCATTCAAAAGTTTGCAATTCCACTGAAACTAACTGTTTGATGACATCACTAATCGAGAAGGGCCTTATGTGATACAAGCATATTTTGCGATTAGTGATGTCACTTAGTTTTAGTGGAATTGCTGGAACAACAGATGTCTGACTGAAAATTGAAATGGTGCAATCAGTGTTCCCAATACACAAACAAAATTTAGAAAACATCTTTACAATTCCTTTAAAGTTTGCTAAGTCAATAGAGGTTATATTTATAGAATATATCCAATACCTTTACTAATTAAACAATGTTTTTTGGCAGGTTGTGAAACATCCATCTAACGTATTTGAACTACAGATTAGAAAGAAAAGTTTTTATGCTGATCCAGGACAATATATATTTCTTCATTGCCCTAGTATATCATTGTTAGAATGGCATCCATTTACATTAACCTCAGTAAGTAGTTGTCGTATGAACAAATTTGTGTTTGAAGAACCTGACCCACTTTTCATCCAGCATTAGCTAATTCCTATCAATGACTCACTTAATTGTCAAAATTTCACAATCATGTGACACTTTGATTTGGCAGCTAGCATTCTAGGTTCTAAGTAGATCTACCCACTAAAATTTTACTTAATATATGATCTAACTTGGTAAACTTATAAGGAATTCTTTGAATATTGAATCTAAGTGGTATTTATGATACAGTGATATCGTGATGCTTTTCAATTGTTTTTGGAATAGCAGGAACCCCTGATAATGTCTTAGCTCAATCAAATCACAGTTGGCTGACAATGAAACTATTCAGTTATTGCTTTTCAAAATTTCTTTATCTGTAGGCTCCTGGAGAAGAAACAATAACAGTACATGTTAGAAGAGTTGGCGATTGGACTGAAAAATTAGCTAAGTCTTGTCACGTTGATGAGGGAGAATTTCAAGAAGCATGGAAAATGCCAAAGTAAGTTTTCACTCCTGTGGTTCGTGCAATTTCACTAAAACGAAGTGTTTGCTGATGTCACTATAGCAGAGGCTATTAATAATATTCAAGGGCCTTTTTCGATAATGTGTCATATAATAGCTGTGTTTTTGTGGAATTGCAAAACCAAAGTCTGATTTCTTTAGTTACTAGAATTTTATTCTCCTTAGCACCTTTGACCTCTGTTGAAGTTTATAGAATGCACAAATGATCCATGGTTTTTATGGTATTTAATGCTTTATATTTCTATTATTTAGGATTGCTATAGACGGACCTTATGGAACTTCAACAGAGGTAAGAACTATATTTGAGTTTCCTGACCTAATCGGGTACAAGGTTGCAAAACCTAGCTAGAATAAACCAATTTTATAGTAGTTGAGGGGAAAAGTGGACATTTGTCTAAAAATGTGCTTTGTAATTGGATACAGCTAATTCAAAATAGGCTTACGTTTATGGATTTCTAAAATGAATATCTTCCTTTTCGTTCACAATGTTTTTACAAAACAATCCATTTCTGATTTAGTCTGCAAAGTCAAGGGAAATTATTTTGGTTTTTGAACAAAATTTAAATCTATACAACAATTTTCTAAAGAGTACAATTTTAAATATTCCAGGATTGTTTCCGGTTTGATGTGGCTGTTTTAATTGGTACAGGCATTGGTGTTACTCCTTTTGCTTCAGTATTAAGACATGTCTGGTGAGTTGATATGCTGCCATGTACAAAATATTGTAAATTGTATGGAATTATTGAGACTGTTGATCAGGTTTAAAAAGTTTCATCATCTTATGATTATAGGTTTTGTTTGAAATAGAATCTCCATGTGAATAGCTTGTGGGTGAAATTCCCCTGGGGGCTGGAATGATAAGTCTTTTTGAACTTTCATTTCTGATGGTGATTGTTGATGTCTTTGAATAAAAATTGATCTGACACTGAATTTATGCAGTATTGTACCATTTCGTGATTGTACATTTAAGTCCTTTTGATGATTAAATTTTGATGTTGGAAAATAAAATTGAATCCTTTGACTTTGCACTCTCTTCAGGAAAAAATACTCAACCAGAAGAAATGAATTACAGCTCAAATATGTCCATTTTTATTGGGTGTGTCCGAGTACAAGCTCATTTGAATGGTTGCAAGAACTACTGAACTCTCTGGAAAGTCAGATGGCTGAGATGGGAAGTGCCAATTTTTTGAGTCATAATATTTATCTAACTTCAGGTTGGGATTCTAATCAGGTATTTTTATATTCATTCTGGATTTCTTTCTTTTTACCTTACTTTTCAGAATGAAAATCTGACCAATCAAATCACGGTTGAGGGTCACATGAAGGTCACAACCAAGACACAAAATTGATTTGCCATCACCCGCTTGATGAGATAAGAACACATTCTTTGCTAAACATTCCAGGATGATTTTGATTTTCTGTCAGCTTCAATTCTTGCCCAAAAATTTGCATCGTCCATATTAATCATAACAATTAATAACACACTGCTTTTGTCTTGTTAACGTTCGGTAACAAAGCGTCTGTAACAAGTGATTTGATTTGATTGGCTGAGATTTCGTGAGAAAAGTTTCAGGGCTAATAGTAAATACATAATTTCTCTCACTTGCATTACAACAGTCTCAAGGAAGTATGACGAATTGGGGCGTGTTTTGGTCACAATGTTTAAAGTTGTGATGTCTCTGATGAATTCTTGAAATAAGAAATGCTTTCATTTGTTTACAGCAGAATTAATTAGCTTTGCCTGTAATGGGGGTAATCTTTTAAGTTGATTGAATGATATTTTACAGGCTAAAAATATAGTCCTTCATAATGATGAAGAAAGAGATGCTGTAACTGGTCTTCAACACAAAACACATTATGGCCGACCCCAGTGGGACAAAATATTTTCAGATCTAGCTGTCTTTCATAAAGGGTAGGTTCCTTTTGATCAAACTTATCTATTTTGACTACCTAACAATGTTACATACTGCCAAATGCATTCAAGTGGAAAATTAAATTTTTTTCATATTTGAAATTGCAAATAAGTGTTATCTAAAGCGTTTCTCTGTTATTCTTGGGTTCACTTACCATCCATGATCTGTAAAATTGCTAGTCAAGTCACCTTCTATTGTCTGAGCAAAGTAAAAAGTGTTTTTTTGAATTTTTTTTTACTATTTGTATGAGAATTAGAATAGCTGCCTCAAAATAGTACTGTTAGTTTTAGATTATGTAGAATATCTTTGTGTTGATAAAAATTATATTTTAATCAACGCAAAGATATTTTAAAACTAACAGTACTATTAGTTGAATACTCTTAAAAATATAGAAAAAACCTTTTGGTATCTATACAAAGCAGAACCATTAATGAGTCAATCAAAATATTTCTTTAATGTCCCTGTGCCTTTCCTTCAGTGTACCACAATACAAATTCGACATCATGTGTCTAGACAAATCTGGCCATTATAACTCATGATAAATCATCTATATGACCGAAATTTGATTGATTGATTGATTGATTGATTGATTGATTGATAATTAAAGTAGTATTTCCTCCAGATTTTAAATGAAAAGTGTAGCAATCACTACAAGCAAAAATACTAAACAAAATAGATAGATCATATTGTTTCATACATGAACATTTGATAATGTTAGCTTTAGGAATTTTTGTTTGTCATTTTCAGAATGAAACTTGGAGTATTCTTCTGCGGACCAAAATCCTTATCAACCTCTCTACATAGTCTCTGTAATAAACATTCTACAGAGTCAGTTGGTACCAGATTTTATTATAACAAGGAGAATTTTTAATTTGTCCTGTTTTTTAAAAATGTTTATTTTAAAAGGCAGAAATTTTTTTTCTAATGTGAGCTTTTAAACCACATAGTTTAGATCCATATTTAATATAAATTAGGCAATCTTTTGCCTCCATTGTTAATAGTAAAGAAATCTCAATGAGGCCTTTAATGCCTCTGTACAAACATCTTTATCTTATAGCTTGGCTGCAATAGCCACCTTTTTTGTACCATGGAGGTTAGTTATTGCAGTGATTTGGTTGTATTGTACGCTAGTGACAATCAGCCAATCAGAGCCGTCAACAGAACGTCTTAAGCCATGATGTATAATATACAGTCTTTCTGTCAATTGCTCTGATTGGTTGTATTTGCTGGTCTGGAATCCAATTAAATTGCTGCATTCCATGATCTTAGTTGAGGTATAAGACGAAATTAGTAATACCATTTTGAACTTGAGTTTAAGGAGAGAGTGCAGAGACAGAAAATATATTTTTTTGTCCTATTCAGTGTCTTTGTCATCTACTGTTGAAAATTTCTGCTTGCTCCTCTGCATATTATGGCTGGGTTAAAATTACCACTTTGGGCAAAGGAATGCATTTCAGGGCAATTGTTTCCCTGTTTTTTTCAACATAATAGTTTTTTGACCACTGTTTTTGCATAGTTTTTTTCCCTATACACTTCTTGCTCAGTACAAACTTTCCTCATCACATGAAAGGTATTTTTTTTTTAATAAATGTGATTATTTTTAAGATTTAAAATATGATGAAAATGTCCACGGTTATATTTGGGGTTTTTTGTCACTTTATTACTTCTCTTAATCTTTCTTAAGAATTTAAAACTAAAAACTTTCATGATGATATTTCACTTGGTTTAATCTTTACTTGTAAATCTAGATAAAAACTTCCATAATTGTTATATGTTGGTTATTTTATGTCTAGGTTATTTCTCTTAATATTTGTATTCCTGTAGATCTGACAAATGATGACAATTTTCATGGGTTTCATTAGGTGATTTATCTTAATCTTGTAGATTTAGTATAAGATTCAAATTTTCATAACAATGTTTGGGTTATTTTGTCATTAGGCTATTTTTCTAGATCTTTCTCTAGCTTGTAGATTTAGAATAGGATTTATAAAATATTTTGGTTTTTTTTGTCATAAGGTTATTTTTCTAGATCTTTCTCTAGCTTGTAGATTTAGAGTAGGATTCTTGACAACATTTGGGTTAGTTTGTCCTTAAGTTTTTTTTTTTCTAATTCTTTCTCTAGTTTGTAGATTTAGAATAGGATTCATGACGATACGTGGGTTATTGTCAATAGGTTATTTTTTAATTCATTCTCTAGCTTACAGATTTAGAATAGGATTTGTGAAATATTTGGGTTATTTTGGCATAAGGTTATTTTTCTAAATCTTTCTCTAGTTTGTAGATTTAGAATAGGATTTGTGAAATATTTGGGTTATTTTGTCATTAGATTATCTTTCTAAACCTTTCTCTAGTTTGTAGATTTAGAATAGGGTTCATGACAATGTTTGGGTTATTTCGTCATTAGGTTATTTTTCTAAATCTTTCTCTAGCATGTAGATTTAGTATAGGATTCATGACAATATTTGGGTTATTTTGTCATTAGGTTATTTTTCTAAATCTTTCTCTATTATAGTTTGTAGATTTAGAATAGGGGTCATGACAATATTTTGGTTATTTTGTCTCAAGGTTTTTTTTAACTAATCTTTCTCATCAATTCAACGAACCAAAAATGAAAAGATTTTTGAATTAATTCCTCTACTTACTTGCTGTATGAAAATATTTGTTTGTAATATTACCATTATCAATTTTCTGGTAATTTTATACTTTTGTTGACTTTTGTCTGCATTTATTAAGGTCCTTAAAAACCAAATTTTTGACCTTTTGTCGAAAGAGTCATTGAATATGATACTTACAGTAGTAATTGGTTGATGTCAATAGTCACTAAATTAACTAATCAGATTTAATAAAATACTTCCTGACAACGTGATGTACAGATATTGACTTAACAAGTTTGTACTGATAGGAAATATGTAGATAAACAATTGAGTGTTTTTCATATTAGCTTTCCAAAGTGCATGCTGTAAAGAATTAAAATATATATTAAGCCAAAGTAATTATGACTTAATGTGTTCTATCATAATATTCTATATTTTTTATAATATATTTATTACTTGTTTTCATAATATCATATTTGATTCCATTTTTATTTTCGATTAAATTATTTTTTCACATAATATGAGAGTGTTACTGATTTGCCAGTATATGGTTGACTGTATTCTTCAATGTATTTACGGGCTAATTCTTTGGCAAAGTCAAGAGTAATAACTGAATTTGATAGAATAGAATCACAGTTGGGCATTATGCAATTTTGTTAACAAAATAAAAGATAGCTTGCCAGGCAAGGTAATATACGCACATTGGCACCTTTGATTTTCAATAAAAATATTTGGCAGTACAGTAACAATTACCAGTATGAAATATTCAACCTTCATTCATACACTTCTTTTGAACTTTTTGGGGCGATACTGAATAATATTACCGTCAAAATCTATCAAAAATTGTGACTTCTAGTGTGTTTACGAGCTAAAAATTGAACGCGTTTCCAAGAACAATGGTAATAACTATATATTTTTCGATTCTTTTGATTTTCAATAGGGTTCATCCTTGGGTGATAACAATCACACCAAGTTTCGTCAAAATACATCAAGAATTGTGCCTCCTAGAGATTTTTTCAAGCAATTGTGATCGGGCGGACGGACGGACATGGGTGACGCCAATATACGCTCCCATTTCATGTGGGCGTATAAAAAATACATGATCAAAACGGTGGAAAAAGCTTACTTAGTAGGATGACTTCCAAAGCAAAAAAAAGTGTGGACAAATGAAATGATCGAAAAATAGATTGAAATACTGGAGTCATCAGGAAAACTTTGATAGTCACAACCGACAACTTTGATCAAGTTTTTCTTGGATGATAGTGACAAACGATCTTTTGTCTCCTAAGTCTTTGGTCACAAACGTAACAGTAGGCCTATTTGGACTATTGGCCTTGAATAAACACGTGACATTGAAGTATAGTTTTGCACGTGCTCACAAACATTCACACACTGTGTTTACATCGTCAGAAGAGTTCAACACGTTCTAATATATAAACGTGACTCAGAAAACATCTTATTTTGATATGATAACACAGACGATAGTTGGTGCAGATTCTGTACAGCAACAGTGTTAGGATCAAATTCAAATTATTGGTTAAGGTAATTCGCATGCTTTTATTTTAGAAGTTTATTTTCATCTCCGTCATGTCAGTGCTGATTGTCGATGTACAAGGTACCCGTTCCTGTAAAATAAGCTGTTAAAACAAAGTAAAATAAACGCCTGATTGTAGAGAAATATGTCTCCCTCATATTCTCGTATTCCATTTTATGTGAGCGTATAAAAACTCGCTCAAACGGCCTAATTAACATTTGAGTAATCTATGATTTTAATTAGCCCTTTTACAACAAATTCAGTTTGATTAAGAAGATACATAGATATAAATAGCATACTTTACAAATATATTCAGGTATAATTTACGACGATTTTTATAATGAAAACTTTTTACAAAAAAGCGTAATACCCCTTTAAGATATTGTCAATATACCTAACCGATGCATAATACAACACTATTGTTACTAAAGATTCAATTGTGTCATTAAGATCATCAAGATTCGATTGTAATTTTTTTTTACATATTTTGTCATAGACGATAACTAAAAACTGTTCATCCGGTTATTGCAAATTCAATTGAAACATGTATTCATATACAAGTTTTCAAATGTTTACCAAGTCATCCTTTCAAAGCCAAAAGCTTGAATTAAATCGAATACTGGTTATGACATAGTCTTTAGTGTGGGTGTGGTTTGGACACGATGAAAAAAAAAAACGTAGCCTAACTTAAGGCCAAAAGAATCTTAATATTTTAAAAGTTAATTTTTAACCAAAAATATAGAAAGTTCGAAACTTATCTATTAAAATTGTATTGCCCAAACACAATAATAACTGCTCATTGTTCAAAAAAGTGAAATCTCTTGATCCTTGAATACACATAAATGCATATCCACCAAGGGTATATAAAAACGGATTGAATGCATGTCGGGCATACACAACGATAATAACATCGTCAAATTAGTACCCGTTCAATTACTCACAATTCTACACGTACATGACGCCGTTGATCAAAATCGAATGGTAGAAATTTTAATAGACCGACAAGGGTATGCAACGCTTTCATCGGCTAGTTCACCGCAGATTGATATTGGGAATGTGAATAGCCTTTCGTCTCTGACATATCGTTCCGACATAGCAACTCATTCATATGATTATTGCTTCAATCAACAATTCCACCTGGCTTGATGAATTTTAGCAGCCAATAAAGTATGTAAACAGGATATTACAACTTTTGATTAATGGAATTAATGGATTCGACACCAAATTACAGTTTGAATGTGTCATTTAATGTTAAATCCGAAAGTTGACATGCTACACTTCCACGCATATGGACCGAAGGGCATAGGTTTCTCAGGGAGTTTTCAACATATTTTGTTCCCTGCCAATGATGTATGGAAAATGCATCTTAGTGGGACCGTTAACAGAGTCGTCATTCAGGACACTCATGGATTTGAAGGCTCAAATCCCGTTTTTGAGACTAAAGTATGATTGGTCAAAAAATGGTTCATCTGTCCTTTTAAGTGTGAATGTATCGATTTGTTCTGATAACAAGTATATAACTGGAAGAGTCAATCTTTTTGCCATTTCAACCGACCATAACCACTACGATGAAACTTGTAATAATTTTGACTCTGATGGTATTGTTGTCGGTGATCGACCACTGTGATTGCAGCTGGAGGCGTTTTACCGAAAGAGTATCAAGATCGTGGAACAGAAGATCGTCTAAGCGCAGAGATAAAAGAGAAATTGCAATGTCAGATATTTTAGATATGATAGAGGTAAGAAGTGGAAAATCTACTATAATAGCCAATAGATGGTTTTTGAAGGAATATACATACCCCCACTTTGCGGAGTGTAAGCGATTCTCCTTTTTTTCTGGGAATGAATCAGTGACTGGCAAAAAATCTTTTTAGATTCGAATTTGAAAGTGAATAGATGGCGTTTAATAAACTACAGGGAGTTTGCCAGGCAAATTATACGCCCACAAAGTAGATTTTTTTGCATCAATATATTTGAAAGAACGGCAACCGTCACAAGATTTTTCATTATATTTCTATTAAACTTGTTCTACGGCAAGAAATTAGACAATTTACAGATTTAAATTACCAACTAAACGAAATCGGTTCAAACCATATCGCAAATACTAAGTATGGATACAAGCAAGTACAATATTATAGAGATTCCAAACGATTTGATCAGACATGATGGAAAATACAGCGATCATATTCTACAATTAATTTACTGGTTGCCTTTTTATATTTAAGGAGCAGTCAAAGTGACCAAACCAAACATTAAATAAACAATAATTAAGCTTTAATTTATTTATACTTTCATCTTTTATTCCAAAACCTTCTATACAGCGCCTGAACCCTGGCTCACGTTCCCTGTTAGTGGGTGAACGATCCAACGCTTGGCGAATTCGCCAAATATTATCTTTTCGGGCATTTATATCTCAGTAGACTGTAGAAACTCTTTAATTTTATAATAATATATTATGCGCAACATATTCCGTTGGTTTTAACATTTCCGCGAACATTTTCTGAGCGAGGGCCTCTCCATATCTGGAAATGAACAGTTTTGCCTGCAAAATGTATGACCTACAGAAGAAGATACTTACTGAGACTGTTTACCTCTGTAGCTATTTAATGAATTGTGGTAAAAACAGAGGGTAGAACCGTTGAAAGGAAAAAGAGAAAAGAATTTAAGACCAGGTGTAGATTCACCTGAGGCTGTCTGGCGCATACTAATATTTGTCGGCGCTGATTTTCATACATTTTATATTTTCCTTTCATCCTACCAAGGAATTAAGGAATGAAAAATATACAGTTAATCAAAATTTTACTGCTAGTAAGGTCACAAATTCTTACTTACATTTTCACTTATAGGAAGAAAATGTAACCACTATATTTTATACGGATAACAACTTTAGTTCACAAAGATCCTTTCTACATGCTGGTCTTTGATCTTTCTTGAATCAACCGTAGCAATTTACAGCTTGGTCGACTAGAATTATGAGTGAAGACACCTTATTTAAGATCATCGGAATGTCACACGCCGACCGACATTTTTAACGTCGATAATGACAAAAATTTTCATATAAATAATTGAGAAATACATTCCTAACTTATCTATAAACAACAGTGGCAGCAGACTTTTCTCAGTCTTGTGAGTGAGGTCTGGACAATAAGTGATGTTATGAAAATGTTAATAACCACGAATGCAACTCCCATTGGGATTTGACAAATAAACTTAAAAAGTTTGCACCCACGTTTGGTTGTTTCAGATGATTTATCATTACATTGTAGAAAAGTAAGTTATGTTCACTGATGCCATTGAATCATTCATTCTGAACGTAATTGAAAAGAACTGTTACATTTTGTATTTGAAACGGTTGAATGTATAATGTAAACTTATTTAAACATAATTTGTTTTCCATTTTATGTAGAAAGATAAAGGGGTTATAAATACTCAATGACTACAAGCAACGCTAACATCGGTAAAGAATTACAGAATCGAGTCTGGCATATTGTTACAATTCTCAATTACAACTGATTTTAAAATTTGAAACAAAAAATCCAACAAATCATCTACGTCATAAACAAAACGCTTTAAAAAAAATTCAGGAAAATTATTTCTTAACTCGGGTGGTATTTGTTAGATTTTGTTATATACAATGTAGGTAATAAAAATCTTTCAGACCAAATTGTTTAAAGCAAGGTCAAGTTTCAAGTACATGTATTATAAAATCATATTATACCGAAGCTGATCCGAGATCGCAATGATATACGACTTTCATAAAACGTGGATTTGTTTAACCGTGATCAACTATATATTCTCATCGGGTTTTAATAAAAACCAGAGAGAGCAATAGAACGTAGAGTGTTTGCGAGGAAATACGGACAAAGTGCACACACACAGAAGTTGGCTTTTGGCAGGAAGCCTTCATTCACTAATGCATTTTATACAAAGCTATTCGCATTTTCAAAACGATTCGAAATCAATGGGATTTCGTAGTTATCATTCCACTTTCAACGCCGCGTGAAATGCCAGTAACTCTAGCGGATGTTTTATGATTTTGTTGATCAAAGCTTTAAATGGCATAGTGGGTAGAGCCTCAAGTCCAACCACCGTCTTAAATGGGATAGTTTGATTTCTCTCCACAAAACATGTTATTGATCGTCATAGTATGATTATTTAACTTTAAGGTTAATTTCAAGGAAGAGTCATAACTGAAGAGAATCTTTCCATAATGAAATTAATTCACCTAAATATATTTTCACTTGTATTGGGAATGGACTTAACAGTGATAAAGAGTCAAATGTGCGCAGACCCAAGGCGATTTAGTGATGTCATTCAAAATGGACAAGAAAGAAATGGAGTAGTGGTCAAAACCATCAATAAGGTTGAACTTGTACAGTGTTGGAAAATTTGTGTACAATATTCTTTGTGTACATCAATTAATTTTATGAACAGTAAATGTACATTACTGACGGGAGAGAATCTTAAAGTATTGTCTAAAGCTGGGTCTATCACTTCAAAGAAGAAAAATTGGCCGATCGAAAGGATAGCTGGAAACTGTTACAATCACAATTGTCCTAAGAACGCTAGATGTATTGAAAAATCGGAAGGGTTTTCTTGTGAAATAATTGGATGTGTAGATCCTCTTGCTGATAACAGCCTTTTCAGTCATTATGCAGTTTGGATTGAAAATGATTCTATAGCGATACCATGTGACCAACGGGATATGTGTGCGAAACTTTTTACATGTCAAGAGAATGGATTCTGGTCAAAATTTACTTATGTCAAAGGTAAGGAACATTAAAAGAGCCAATGGTTGACTTTCTTTTTTAAGCGACAATACATAAACATTAGCCGACCATGAAATTTTATCGTGCACTACCTGTAGCAAACGGAGAGGGGTCTGTGCAGCGTCTCGGGGTTTCTTTCAATGTACACCATCCGTTCCACACCAGTGACAGGGGGGAACCTGTTGAAAAATATTTCGACCTTGATTGACTCTGGACCTACAGGTTAACTTGCAAGCGTCATCAAGCCTCCATAGTCCCATATTTAAAAACTATCAGCACTAGAATCTGTATATTTCATTGATTTCATGGCGAATAAGGTTTACATAGCAAAACATAATATTTATTTTGTAGACGGAAAATCCCCATCATGCCCGAATGAAAGTAAATGGACGGAATGGTTTGATAGAGATAATCAAGAAGGTACAGGGGACCATGAGACGATTCGCAGTTTGAATAATCAATATCACGGAAGATTGTGCACAAATCCAACATCACTTGATGTACGATTATTAAATGGTTCAAATTATCATGTTGGTGGCAATGTTCTCATCCTGTCACCATCAATTGGCTTTAAATGTATAAACAAATACCAGTCTGATGGAATTTGTAAAGACTATCAAGTTAGATTTTGTTGTAAAGTGCCATACCAAACTTGGTTCCGGACATAGTAAACAAAAGTCAGAACACCAACATAGTTCATCTCCATGTCAAAGGCGTGACTCCAACTACTTTCTGAACTATTTCTAGAATATATCGGATGGTCTGTAAAAAAAACGATAACAATTTTCAATTCAAGATCTCTCGTAAAGTCTCAAAGCTATGATCATAATATGTTGACCTCATATTTTCAGGGATATAAGACATTTCTTCACCAAATTTCAGCTGTATAGGTTGAACCACTTTGGAATTCCAGCCTTTTTAAAATTCCTTGTCCAAAAATATAATGCCGAAAGTGAATACTGAAATTATTTCTCCTTTTTTGAATTAATGCTCAATACAGCTCAAGTTTTCAGCAAATATCACCTGAATTCCATGTTTCCGTGACAAGAAATTGCATTCAGTCTTCAATTCCTCCAGCTCATCTCCATTGTTAAATTGTCAGCTAGAGAAAACTGTAAACCATTTTTGGGGTTGCCATTCATCTTTTGTATGAAATACTCCAATTGTCAAATTCATGGAATACGTCTTTTTTTTTTTTTGGCTGAAATTACAATATTTATTTTCGGCATTATTTTTTTTTGTCAAGGAATTTTAGAAAGGCTGGTATTTCAAAATGGTTCAACCGAAATAGCTGAAATTTGGTGAATAGATTTCTTATATCCAATATACATATTTCCTTGATCCTTTTACTTTAATAAGAAAAGTAAATATACTAATAGATATTGATTGACCATTCAAATAATTCTATGGATTTTGTTTTGGGAAGAACAAGTATGACCCTTCCAAGATACCTACTTTCTCTTTTGCGTTTAGTATACTTTTCAGCTCCTTAATAGGTTTATCAGGAAGGCCCAATATATGTTTGTTGCCTAGACAGCAGTAAAATAATTCCCTTTTATAATCAACGAATTTACCGGATTTAATCATTTTATATGACACACATGTAAATGAATCTACCATGAAATCTTTAAAAATTATTCTTAAATCTCCCAGGCTATTTATTAGAAGGTTATGTTTGTCGAGGAACAATAACAGAACTTGCCAAGCAAGATAACTGGCAGTTTTGTGCTAATTAGTTTAAATTGAAAGATAATCATGAATTGTTGAACATGATAACATGCTAAAAATCGAAAACTTTTCAAGAAACAAAAACAATAATTATTTGATTTAGATTTTCGATAGGTGATGATTTTCATTCATCACCAATTGTTCCTTTTTACTTGATATGTTAAGTTTTTCTAAAGACAAGGCAATTATCTTTCGGTGTGTTTGAATTTTGATAGGATTCAATCTCGGGTGATAAATAACAATAAATACTAAGTTTGTCCAATTCTGTCAAGAATTATGTCTTGTTGATTGTTAACGACCCAGAGCCCCAATGCATTTAAAAGAATAGAGACAATAACCCATAACTCAATTTTTGTTTAAAAATCCATGCCTATAATGTCAGTGCCTGAATTCCTGATAATACTATGTCCATATTTATATCTAATTATGCCTATATTTTTGTTTTTAAAACTATATCTAGGCCTATAAGGTTAACAACTATTACATTCTTTATAAAAATGCATTTCTATATAGATGTAATGAGCACTTTTTTAATTGTAAAATAGTTTGTTGTAAATGCCTATTATATTCTGTATAAAACTTTGTGTTGTTAATGCTTATATCCGATATATAAAACTATCTATGCTGATATTGTTAATGCCAAGAAGAAAACTATTTAAATTACAATGTGGACTAATAGTCTAATAGCCCCGTCACACCGGACTGCGATCATTTTCGATCTTACAGCGACATGAAATGTCTTGTCTCATTCAAACGCGAGGGATGAGAAAAATAACAAACTTTTAAGCGCTCGACCCCTAATCGTGATGCTCGAGTACGTGTTCTACCATACTTATACCCAATAAGTATTCATGATCATGTACAAAGCATCTATCCATATCCTCTTTAGAAAATAAACACATTTGTTTGTCAAGACTTCTGATTAGGTAAAATGGGTTTAACTTGAAGGCATATTTAATTTAATAGTTTTTTTTGTTACAGATATCGAACAACAATTCAACAATTCCCGAAACCATTTCAACCAGTTGCAAAGTCAATCCAACTTTGTTCCGGGTTTGATATATAGGTTAAATTATTGATCACCATTTCAAATTGCATTGTTTGAGAAATTTTAGTATCACCTTCATCATATAAACTAGACTGCATATTTCTTTAAGTGAACAATAAAACATATTTAGCAATTGATTTTCATTTTATCTACCTTAAGATATAAGATTCCGTTCGTGTTGCAATAAGGTAAAAGCATTTTTTCTCTCAAATACATAGTAATAAAATTCTGTTGTCAATGACTGTCCCGTTTTTCTTTTATTGGTATTAAAATAATTAATTAAGATATATATTTGTATATATACCGAGTTGTTAATCTATCTTAACTATCTTAACTTACTTTGAGACTAGTAGCATAATATTATGCCATTAAACGGAGCGTCGCCGATTCAGACCACCAAGGTTCCAATTTCTGCTCTAAAATAGAAACTTAGCCGCTGAAGGCAACTTGGATTTTTCAGTCATCAGAAAGTCTAATTCCGGTACCTAATCAGATTCCCCTGGATGTCGACGGTGTTCAACAGTCGTTGAAAACCCAGATTTTTCCAGAATCTGCAAGATTCGCATCTTTAAAATGCATGTTTTCATTTACTTTTGAATAATAGCCTATATTTCACACTAGTTTAATGAAAATTAAAATTGTTGAAGATTTGTCGCATTATTGTCAAAGAAACATGCATATATATATCTGAAAACCGTGTAATCCAGCTGAGCTTAAATAAAACACAAAACCTAATGCATATTTTCTATTAAAATTTTTATAGCTTTTAATCCGAACATGATTATGGCGTGTCCGTGAAACTTGTCAAATCTGTACAAAATTCTTTTTAACTAGAATTACACAGCTTTTCACATTACGAAATAATATGAGTTTAAGGTTTTATTCTGTATACGCCCCACACTAGTATTGTCGCTGGCAAGATAGAGAATACAGTCTTTAACTGATCTTTATGAAACTTGTTATGCATAAGTTCAAATGAATACAGTTAATGAATTTATGATACTTTGTTTATATGTTCATTTTGATGACTCTTGTCCTCGTTTATATCCTATTTCGCTGAACAGTTTATGAGGTTTAGATTTAACCTAGTTTCAAGAAAATGAAGCAAATAACCAACGCTCTAAGCGACTCAGCTATAGGTATCTAATAATAATTCATAGCAATAATAATATAATATGATAATATGTAAGTTATAGCTGACATCTCAGGTAGTTTTTTTTAATTTGTAGCTCTTGGTTTAAAAACCTGTGAAATCATGTTTAAATCAATTAGACTGATAACACATTATTACATAAAGGAACGTTTTTCAGGTGGAATTCCACTCGCGCTTATAAAATTATGAGGACATTCGAATAATAGTTAAAAACAAAATAATGTTATGATTTTTGCCAGTTATTATCGGTTTAATGCGGGGCTAAACGCAGATCTAGGAATAGGTTCGGGAAGTCATTTAGCCCTAGGGTGGTTTTGAGTTCTATCTAGCTTTTAAGTTATATTTTTATGATGTAAATGGTTAGACACAGATCATATTTCTAAACGTTTAACTTGGAAAGATCAAAGTGATTCAGATAAGATCCAATATATCATTATTTTATTCCAGCCTCAAGCATGTATTATTTTACTTCTGTGATTCAAGCTGAATAAGAAGGGGAAAAGTATAAATACATGAATTTACTTTTTTATTTTTTTGTTATGTTATAACAGGATCCTAATATAATCCGATAAATCCAAAAAACTTAGTAATTATTCATAAACATGAAATTAACTATTGAAAAACGCTTGATATCAAGATTAAGCGTTTTTCAATAATTACTTATTTTTATGAATTTTCAAATTTTCCAGATGTTACAGGGATTCTGTTGTAACTTTATGACACCAGGTAAGCTAACTGATGAATATAGACTAATATCGACCTTTTCAAAAACTTAAATTTTATGTTCATTCTAAGACTTAGTATCACTTTAACTTGTGTATAATTCATAATTTGGTTGGGACCTATTGATAATCAGAATTTTCTCTAAACCACATACCAAAAATAAACTATAGTTTTAATTTCATAACAATAGTAGGCCTGTCAAATGAACAGTTCTGTTGTTTATCAAATAATCCAAACAAAAATATCAATAATAGCCAAATCTGTTTTAACTTCGGAGTGGTTAAACTTTGAATTTAAAATGGAAAGTGGTTCGAATATTGCATGGGACAGATTATTCGTCTTTACTTCTGACCACAACAATATAGAATTTACTTTCCTCTTTGACCCCCCACAAATGCTATATTTAGCCACACTGCACGTGCTACATGATAATAATAATGGATGCTGAAGGTGATGTGAATTGAATTTCTGGATGTATTATGTTCTAATAAAGGAAAGCCAATTAAAACATTTCTAAACCAAGTAAACGCTTTGATCTCAAATTTTCTTTTCCCAATTGGTTTTTTATTCAATATTAATAATATTATGACATTCAATCAGTAATATTTACAATTTCACAAAAGTATAGTCCGAAATGTTCTGTATTATTTATTCCATGTGTTTATTTACACTCCGCCAGGATAATTCATTCCGTCAATCATTCCTTCGTTTCTTAGTATTGATTTATTCATATTCATTCATTCATTCATTCATTCATTAATTTCATTTGTTTTTTTTATATGCCAGCAACATGAAATGAGCTATTATCAATTCAAGTAGAGGACTATTCAAGTTGATGTATACTCGTATGAGTGCAAACGCCTCAAGCATACTAAAACAAATAAAATACATTTGAAACCCACTACCACAATTAACTTAATGTATAAAACACTAGACTTGCCTGGAGAAAATCTCATTTAATTCATTCATTCATTCATTCATTCACTCATTTGGTTTTGAAAGAATCCTGTGTATTAAGTCATGAAAACGGTTTAACATAAGTAAGTTTTATGATCATTGTTTTTGAATGTCAACCATTTTCCCTATGTTAATGGTATAAGCACGAAACCGGAGTCCCTCATGGTACAATCTGTATACAGTCCAGTTCCCTGTTTAAGTAAATCTAAAATGAGAAGGATAATGATACTGCCCTAGCAATCATGACTGTATTTACACACTGTGGAAGTAAAATCAATTTTCATTCTATTTCATTATGGCGGTGTTATGGATGTGATATTGATCGTCACCAAAAACAGTTCTACTATAGGTAAGCCAACTAACATAATATATCTATATTTTTCAAATGCTTCTATTTGTTTTAACCGCTTTTGTGTTACTATTTTGGTTTGTAAGTATACCACATCGGGCTACCTTTCTAAGAATCCGATTTGGGGTCTATCCCCCATAATTATTGTTATACAGGCTGCAAATTAATTATTTATAAACAAAAGTAAAAGCCGAAAGTGTGTGTGGGCGTAAGCTTCTGTGCGAATTTATTCAATATGGGACCCACTGGTTCATTATACGTAGGCCTCTATAGTTTTCCACACGATTTGTGATATTAGCCAAGTTTATACACCCACATTCCTTTGCCAACCAAAGCTGCTATATAACTTTCTCCTGTGTGGGTGGATACAGTATTGTCAACCACTCGTTCATGTACGTACGCAGTTTGAGGTTTATACTGACATTATACCCATATTATTATTCATCATTAAAAACTGTGTTCAAAGTTGCTACTATGTTGGTGTTTACAATTTGGGTATGTAACATTGTTTTATATTTTGGTATAATGGTTAAGAAGACCAATCATATAATGGTGAAGGAAGAATAATAAAAGATAACGATTAAGAAGAATAGTTCTAGATAATGGTAAAGGAAGAATATTTCTAGATGATAAAGGAAGAATAGTTATGGACTATGGTAAAGGAATAGTAGTTATAGATAATGGTAAAGAAGAGTGATTATAGATAATAGTCAGGAGAATAGTTATATATAGATAATGTTTAAGAACAATAGTTATAGATAATGGTTAAGAAGAATAGTTATAGATAGATAATGGTTTACAAGAATAGTTATAGATAATGGTTAAGAAGAATAGTTATAGATAGATAAAGGTTTACAAGAAAAGTTATAGATAATGGTTAAGTAGAATAGTTTAAGATGTATTGTAAGATAGAAGATGAGCCAAAATGAAGGATAACCAACGGTAAGCCAGTTTGTTTAATACTAATGTAACGTTTTGTTTCTTGTTTGCAGGTTAAGATGGAACATAAGATGAAAACTATTATCTTATATCATACTAACTTCATCTGAGTTTTTTAAACTCCTTGGGGTCAAGTTAGTAGGAAAAGACCAAAAGTTGAGCGAAGTCCAGATAGTCCATATTGCTGCAAAATTTCAGCCTTGTATCTTTGTAAGTTTTCACGCAAAACATTTATCTGTGTTTGAGCACTTCTTATGCTCCACTGTGCAGACTGCATATAGCTAGTTTGAAAACTTACAGATTTTACTTTGATTTCTTGTGTTTTTAAGTCCTTGGAATGTTATATATAGGAAAAAACTATTCTTGATCGAAAATGGGTAATAGTCGTATTTTATTCTATGGCTTGTGATTGTAATTTGGTGCTTTGGATTTTAATAGGTGGAAAATAGCAAATGTTTAGCAAAATTGAGTTCCTTGGAAAAGTTTGGTCATTTTTCTTGGTTCTGTGGTCTTTTTTTCAGGAATATCGCCCATAATTCTTTTTTAAGGGCAGATTATTTTAGAGATTGTTTTAATGGAATTTCCCTGGAAACTTTATGGATACTATTGTAGTTTGGTTTTCTAGGTTCTATAGTTATTAGAAATAATTGTTTTTCTAATTTGATTTTAACTATTGCCTTTACCAGAGGCAAGAAAGAAACAACACGTTTCGGACTATGTAGAAGGTTAATTGAATAGTAATCAAGACAATTAGTAACTGGTTACTAGTGACTACTCGCTCAGTCAGTCTGCTTTGTTTATAGCAACCGGTAAGTCGACTTTTTTAAATTTCCTGAAATTTTAGATAAATTTCAATAAATGCCCTCTGACTCTCGATTTGAAAAAGTAATCTTTATTGTATTAAATATATTAATGTAAGACTCATTGCAAAAATCCATTGCAAATTGTTTTTGAGATAAAAATGAAGCAAAGCTTGGCTTTTAACTTGGACTCAAAATAAGGAATATGAATAGAAAAGACGGAATTCTTTGGCTCCCTTTCTCAAATTACTTTTACTTATTAAAATAAAAGAAAGTGCCTTGCCTTATTTCCCCATCTCTCCTAAACTAATTAATCGTAGTTCATTCACCCCTTCGGATGTGAGAATAAGGCGACCCAGAAACCGATAGACCTTTGACTGCTGATAGACATATGCCGATGACAATTTCAGCTCAATATAATATTGTGGTATTTTCAGAATGGTGTACCCTTTAGTTCGAAAATAATGTAATTCACAAATAATCCACTTCATAACATCTCTTCATCATAATTCCCTAAATGTCTATAAAAATAGCCCAAGTTTCTTTATGTGCCTGACGATTCAACATAATATTAATATGTTACACATCTTCGCCACTATCTGTCAAATGATGATTTTGTCTTTTCGTTTCAGGCCAGGGTGCTCAATAGTGGCTTTTACTATTGAGTTAATACACCATAGTTGGGATACCAATCCGGTGGAGGTTAGTATATCATAGATGTAAATTATACGGGTATAAAATTGAGCACTATACAAATAAACCGTACGCGTATAATCCTTTCTTGAAAATGATGTATCAAGAATGTTCAGTGTAGTCTGATCACCTTTGATGCAACAGATATCATGATGAAGTCATTTGATACTAGCTACATGTGAGATTTTTACTAGACACCTGCAAGTGACAACAACTTAATCTTCCATTGGTACAATTTTGCTTCATCGATTGAATCAACCTTTAGATTGTGATTCTTAAAAGTGTTACAGATAGTTTGAAGTGAGTTTGATCAGAAAAGAAAAATAATGTCAGTCAGTCCCAGTGACATTTATGTCCATACATCAGTTTTAATGGGCCAAATTATTACACATGTAAAAAAAGGTTATTTCATGGTTGTATTATTGTGGTGTTTTCATATATTTCAGGGTTTCAAGTACAGTAGCTCGTCTTTAGCTACGGACAACATGGTTAGATATGGTGTACAACCTAGGTTTTTGGAGGTAGCTCACAAGGAGCAAAATTTTCGCGTTTACGGGTTGGGCTCGCGTGTAGTTTAGTTGTGGCAGCCTGTGGGCTACCTTGCTAGGGCCACCTAGGTTGTACTCGGCTAAGCTGCCATATCATGTCCACCCAGCCTCTCTTGGAACAAATGGCGGTAAGTTATTCTCATTTTATGATGTTCAGATATTTGTTGACTTCTACCTAGTTGATTTAGAAAAGGTGTGCGAGTTTACTTTATATATAAATCCCACTTTCGCAAGCTAATTACAAGTTGTGTCTCATATGGTATAACTATACAGATTCACCTCTTTCACAATTTTCCAATGAATCTGGTTGAGAATTAATTTAAATCATTGATGTGAATAAGGAATTGAAGGATCGGGGTTAGATAAGCAAATCAAATCACCTTTATTCAATCAAGATGAGCCGGATCAGTTAGAATTTTCCCGCAGGGGTGTTTCGCAACTTGAAACATAGACAATGAAATGCCAAGTATGGGGATCAGTTCTTGATTGGTTTCGGATGAAAACACCTTGAAAATGGCAATGAGAAAACTTCCTAATTTTTTTCTGAATTGGCTCTATTAAAACTAGGTAGAAATCAACAAGTGTCAGACCATTACTTGATAAAAAAAACTCTGCGCACTATTCACGAAACAAGGCGGTGATGGAGTTGATTGCAACAAAATATCTAATTGCGGACTGTCAAGATTGATTAGGGTGAAAATGTACAGTATGTGTTCTGTGATAAAATAAATAACGTATTAAATATCTAATTTTAGGAGTGCATTTCTAGATCGCTATACAGATGAAATATTGAGCACTATTTCAACAGTGAAAATATTTTGTTATTGTAATTTTAGATCCATAGCGTGAAACGACATGATTTTTGATGTTCTGTATATTTTTTCTAATTTTAGGTGTATACAGATAGAGCTTCAATATATATGAATAAAGTGCTTATGGTGTGGCATGGAAGCTCCTCATGTAAGTTTCAAATTATCATATTTTAGAAATTCTGTTAACGCCTGTTCTGGCATATTATGCATAATGTCAAATGGTTAAAACATGACGAGGGACGCTTGGTGGCTTAGTGTGTTACAGGTTGTGCATCCATAAGATCTGTAGACTGTTGAACATGGAAAACATGTACTACTTCCCTGACAAAATTACATTACACACTACATGTTGTTGTATGTTCTCATTAGCCCTATCAGATGCAGAAACGAAAAATGTAAAACATCACCTTATTCCATGTTTTCAATCTAGAACAGGTTATGACAACTCGGTATCCCTTAAAGGGTGCGCTTTAAGGGAACTCTGAATTAAGACTGGATGGTATTCCATTCTAAAATACATTTTTTCTCGATCCTTTAATCTTTAGTGTAGGTTATTATCCGATACACCTCCACTTTTTGTGATACAACTACACTTTTCTGATACACCTACACTTTTTGCGAATTTGTTCCGCTGAGTATCGGAAAAGTCCAGGTTACCCTAAAAATGGCGGGATGCAATAAAAACAACAGTTCATGATTTTATTACAAGTCATCGTTGAAAGATTTTCTTCGTCGTCTGTCTTTGAGCATGTTTCTATTTTCTGAAAAACACAAAATGTATTTACATAGTATAAATTTGCATAATTTCATAAAGTTTCAAATAATTTTCCTTAAGATTTATCTAAATATTATCAATATTTAGTTCTCGAAAAAGTTATACTATTATATAAACAGATGTATGGATCGTAGTTACATTAGGTATAACATCAGTCCAATATATGTATGTAATCAACAAAAAATTGCGAAAATAAGCATTCATCTGATATAAATAAAGTGATAGATCACAATATGACAATTGTTAAAGATAAATTACGATTTTATCTACAAATTTTGTAAAAGTAATATTTAACACGACAGGGTTTATATAACAATTAGTAATTTATATATTTTTGGAAATTAAAAGTTGTTTATCAGTCGATGAACAGAATTAGTAAAATCTAATGTAATGTAAATGTACATATATGGCACATATTTATATCCGTTTTACAAACACGCTTAAAATGAAACTTGTATTTTACACACTGAATGAAGTGGACGATATCTATATTGTAGGTCAATGTTCTTTGTGAACATTCTAGAATGATAAGTACTAGCAAGTTTCGGTGTTTGGAAAATTATTTAAAAAGGCAGGCGAACTCTGTAAAGTCTAAAGTAGTTTTGAAATTATTTTGTTGAAACGTGGCTGAAGAGCACTGATGTGTTGGCGACAGCTAGTTGTTTCCTTGTTATGGCAACGGATCTGTGATGTGAAGGTTCGTTACTATTTTGGTTTCGATGCATTTCAGGTTAGAAAGGGTGAATCGTCTGGTAATTTACCTACCCACTATAGCACTGCCACAATAGGAGTGTTCTGGGGTCATGGCCTGTATGACCCTACAGATCCTCCTATTCACAGAAGAAGAACAGAAGAAGCGGCGCGCGCCAACAGAGGAAGAGGAACAGATGAAGAACAGATGAAGAACAGATGAAGAGGAACAGATGAAGAACAGATGAAGAGGAACAGATGAAGATGTAGGGCGAATCCTCCACCCATTTTTGGTAAGTTGGTCTTACAAACTTTTTTGACTGATTATAGCTCATTTAGTTACAGTTTTGGAATCTTGACGTAAATGTTACAATTCTAACAAATGGTACTAAATGGAATCCTTAAAATATTGTTTAGTAAGATCTCAAATTTCAAACATTGTGAGGATTGTACTTCATTGGTTTTCCCTCATACAAATGATGGCTTTTGGCTGTATTTTAAAATGGCAAAAACAATACTGATGATTTTTAAGACTTGATTCTATTCAACCTTTCTGTAAATATGAATATAGGTGAGGTTTGACTATGGACCAGTTAGTTGACAAAAACCTGAGTTGTTACTCTTGAAAAAATAGTCTTGACTTTTGTATTTTCATAAAGATCTATCACACCGAGACTACTGTTTCTGTCTGATTTTCACAAAACTTGGACAAGTTGAATCTGATGGTTTTGATGATTTGTATAGAAATGGCCATTGCCACTCGCCTAGTAGGCCATGTTTATTCCTTTCTGTAAATATGAATATACAGTGAAGTTTGACTAAGGACCAGTAAGTTAACAAGATCTTCAAGAACCTGAATTGTTACTCTTGACTTTTTCACAAAGATCTATCATATCTATCAAACTACTGTTTCTGTCTGATTTTCACAAAACTTGAACAGGTTGGATTTGATGGTTTTGATGATTTTTATAGGTAGGTTCTTGATGCCTTGAACAGGTTTGAGGTTCGATCGATGAATATGTTAGGCCTATCGTATTGTGCAAGTCGTTGTGATTACTGTGACACCTTGGTTGAATCTCCAGTCGCTCAGTGGCATAGCCACCTTCAATCCCCATGTAGTCAGTCTTTTCCCTATTTGAACCTATATTTGTACTTTGGGAGGCTGGCACAGCCACTGTAACTCCTAGTTAGCTAAGTTGCTAAACTCTCACTTCTGTTTACTACGGCTTCGTGCAGTTTTAAATTAAAAAGTATGAATTAATTAAATGAAAATTGGGGAATATTTGTATACAGCAATAAGCAATGCATTCTTTTAAAAAAAGGTTAAATTCAAACGAACAGAAACTTTGACAGTTATCGTGAATTAGAAATGAAATGAAATGAAGTGTGAATGGAGTTTTACGTCCTACTTTTCATCACATTTCATGAATAAGAGATATGGACTTGTAATTATAATTGTGAGCAGCGAGTGATGACCTCTTCCCATCTAAAACTAGTGCAGTTGAAGAAAGATATTCATCTCTTGTTATTACCAAATTTATCGGAATTCTAGTTTCGATTTTTATGTATTTTTTATGAGGTCAATTCTGAAATTCGTTCAGACCATTACACCCACCGGTTTCGAAGGTCAAGAGTGACTTACGATGGGTAGCTAAATAACCGTATACAAGAGATGAATTAACTGTGATCTGAAGCATTGTGGTTAGACTGTATACTATTAAAGGGAGGTAATTACTCTTCTGCTTAGGAGACTCATTCAGTTTCTTCTGATTTAAAAAAGAATAGACCTTTTCTTGGAATTTACTGTTTTATTTCTCTCTCCACAGGTAAATAATCGGTTTTATTTATCTTAATTCTATATCAGATTGTGTACTAACTATCCATGTTCATGTTCAAAATAGGAATAATTGTTGACAGTTCTTGTTATGCGGAAACTATCCAAACTATCGCGTGTAGAATTTGGCTTTATCGTATAACATGAAGATAATAATAATGATAATACTAACTCTTTATTAGGGTAAGAAATTAGGCTGAATTAAGTTATTTCCCCTCATGAATATGAATGAATAGCCTACTATGCCCTGTAGATTTCAGCTTTGGAGAAGCATTTAAAATTGAATGTCCCTACGACAGGGCTCAAGCCAGACCAAAAATTTAGGGAGACATCATTTCTCCCTCATGAAAATTTAGGGAAACTTCATTGATTTTGGGGAGACTTCTACACGTGTTAAAAGTATTTGGAAAATGTGTCATGCTGTGACGACAATTGATTGTATCATGATTAATGTGTGTTAAAAAACAGACAACTCTTTACTTAAATCACTTTGTCATTTATTTCATTACATGCTAAACTATATTCATTTAAAACATAATAACAAGCATTAAAAATAATCAATTGAATTAAAAATTAAACAATATCAAAAATATTTAAAAATCCATGCACACTTATGAATCATTGAGCAAAGGCTTTTCTCTTTTTTTCATTTTTCCAAATTTTTACAGCATTTTTAAAATCAAATTCTTTGATTTCAGGCCCATCTTCAACAATTCTCATCAAGTCATTTAAAACACCAGTTTTAAACAGAGCATCTAAATTTTGTCTTAATTCTATTTTGCGTAGAAAACCCCCTTTCACACTGCACACTAGATACTGGTAAAAGTAAACAGCATTTCAATATCATTATTAAATTTGGAGGCAATTCTTGGTATAGCATACAGACAGCACTGCAAACATCTTCAAATGAAAAATCTTTATAGGCACTACCGTACCGGTACTACATAATCTTTTGTACTGTCTATATTCTATAACACAAGAATTACTGTCAATATCAAAATTTTTAGCAAAATTATCCGCTAATAGCAAAATGTCCTCATGACCATATTTGATATCTTTACTGTGTTTAATAATGTTTGATGGCACTAGGACTGACATGCTATTAACAGTTTCCACTTCAGCAAACCTTGACTTCAAGTTGTCAACTATATTTTCAACATGATTTTTTGTTAACTTTGTTAATATGTCTTTTTGGTTGGGATAATTTGTCAGTATAACTTGATTACAATTTTCAATTTCATCATCATTCTCAAAGCCATCAAACCCATCAAGATTTTCATTGACATTGCGTTTAATTTCTTTTGATTGGCATTCAGATTCTGGCTGTTGGTATAAATAGTCTTGGTCATTATTAACTATGAAATCATCCAGCTTAGATACAAAAAACGCCTTCAGAATGAATCAAGTCCTCAAGGCCATCCAGTCATTTGAACTGCTGGTTTAATTTTACTATAGTCAAGTTTTGATGTTTGAAATATCTTGGATAATTTCCCTAAAAAAGGCAAAATATCCCTCAATAAGTGTGTTATTGCTGTGAATTTATATTGGGACACATCTTTATACAATGATTTAGCATTTGAACTTACTTCAGATTCAACAGGGCCTACGGTCTCATTGGAAGGAAATGAACAAGATTTGGGTGATATACAGTGGTATTTAACCTATAGGCCTATCTATGCATGCATATAAGGATTCAAGACCGAATTTTGTCAAAGTTAAAAAACGCAAATTTTTGTTTTATGTCTTAGAAGTTTCCTCAGATATTCTACAAAATAATTTAAATTGGTTTGTTTCAATTTTCTTTATGAATCACTTTGGCCCATATTTCATGAGTAACCAACTCGACAACGGCGGCAAAATGCTTCACCTATTTTCATGTACAATATTTGATCTATAAATAAGTCGAGAATAACCTGTTGTATGGATACCTAGTGGTATAATTAACTTTTCTTAGTATTTATCTTTAATAGGAATTTATTATAACTGATGACAATTCCTTCAAAGGACAATGATTTAAAAAAAATTAGTGACTGACAAAATATAAGATAAGTAAAACGTAAGAGTCATTTATTGCTAAAAGTCATTGAAACTACATAAGAATTTGGCCCACATTGTGTTCCATAGAATTTTTTCACGTGACGTCGTTGCTGGAATATATTCTAGCAGACGACACTTGGAAATCCAAT